ATTCGGATGTTGGAGCGTTTAAAGACATCCTGGAGGTTCCTAAGACTCTCCTCATTTCTTTGAATTCTTGCTCCTTGACTCTTTTCTGTTTGGCCATTATTTGCTTTCTTCTGGTCCACTCCATTGATTTGAGTCCCAGTTTCCTTTTCATTGCTATTGGTGTTCTGTGCAATTCCATTCATTTCAATTAGTTTCGCCTTCATATGTTTCTCTAATTTGTGGCTATAATCAACCAGATCTGTGAGGATCCTGATCACCAGTGTTTTAAACTGTGCGTCTGAGAGTTTTGCTATTTCTTCATCGCTTAGATTTATAGGCTGTGGGGCTTTGAGATCTTCTTGAGCCATTTTTGGTCTGTTTGAGCCCGTTGAGTGTGAGGTGTGGAGCCTTGGACTCCCAGGTCGCTGGGTCGTGACGCTGTATGTGAGGGTGTGGTCAGAGCAGGGAAATGGTGGTGCTCTCTACTGCCTCTCGCCACTGGGGACCCGCTGGGTCCCATCTAACTGCCCACTCCCTCGCTGGTCTATCTGTGCACTGTGCAACCGCAGTCAAATCTTGGCCCTGCTCCCCCGCTGGTTCCCCGCGGTCGCTCGCTGGGTTGCTCACTAGGTCCAACCCTGCGCCTGGGTTCCGCGTGCCTGAGTCTGTCTGACCGAGTTTTCCTGTGTAACCTGCTCCACCAGCTGCTGGTTTCGCCCCTCTTACTGGTCAGGCTGAAGAATTTGTTGTTAACAGACTTCCGAAAAGTTCAATTTTCCGTGTTCTGGCTGTGTTTTCTGTTGCTAATATTTAGTTGTCTCTAAACTTGGTTGTGTGAGAAGGCACGGCGTCTCCACCTATGCCTCCATCTTGGCAGAAGTCCCTTCTTCCTCTTTTGTTTTTCCCCCAAAAAGTTTTATACTTTTTGGTTTTACTTTTAGGCCTCTTACCGGCTGGCGTTCACTTTTATCCACGGTGTGAGGTGCGGGTCCGAGGCAGACTTGGTTTTGTGCAGGAAAGGGAATGGCTCCAGCCCCGTTTGCTGGGACACACGGTCTCTTCTCCGCTGCACCGCCTTTGCGCCCACGCCAGACACCTTCTGCTTGGTTTGGGGACTCTCCAGGCTGCCCCCCTGGCCTGGTCTGCATGTCACCGGCGTCACACTGTCTGGGTGGCGGTGGCTTCCTAAGGAGCATGGGGTCAGGCAGTGTGTGTCTCCAGCTCGCTCTCCTTTCTCCAGGTCATTGGGCTGCTCTGGGACTTGCGTGTTACGTACGGATTTTAGAACCAGATTGTCAGTTTCTTCCTTTTTTATTTTTATTTTTTAAAAGCCTGCTAGGAACTTTACTGGCCTTATGTTGAACCTATACGTCAATTTGGGAATTAAGAGTTAACAACTTAATACTATTTCATCTTCCAGTTCGTGAAGGCAGTAAATCCCTCTGCTGATGTAGGTCTTGGATTACTCGCAGCCACACTGTCTCTTTCACTGCGGGAATCTTACACATCTCTTGTCATATTTATCTCTAAGTATTTTATATCTTTGACGCTATTACGACTGGTGCCGCTTTGTAATTCAAGTACCAAATTGCTCCTTGCTAATGGAAATAAAATTAACTTTCGTAACTTTTGTATTGATTACCTGCAAACTGGCTAAATTCTCTTAGCTACAGTGGGGTGTTGTTTTTTTTAAGGTTCCCTACGTAGATGAACATGTCACCTGTGAATAAAGCCAATCCCCCTCTTTCTAATCGGATGCCCTTCACTCCCTGGCCGTGTGTTTTGCCCGGTGAGGACACAGGGTGTCTGTGCCTTGTTCCTGGTCTCAGGAGGACATGCTCGGTATCGGCCTCAGGCTCAGGAAGCTCTTCTTTGTATCTGTAGTGTCTTCACCCGAGGACATGCTTACTGACTTCAGAGAGTGGGGAGAGGAGGAGAGGGAGAGAAACATCGAGTGGGTCACCTCTTGCACGCACCCCAACGGGGGACTGAACCACAGCCCAGGCAAGTGCCCTGACTGGGTATTGAACCTGTGACCTTCCGGTTTGTGGTGATGACACAACAAAGCCATTTCTGTACTGGAATATAGAGAGTTCTCACTGGGTCCACGGTCTGCAACATTTTCTCCATTCTGTGGGTTGTGTTTGCTTTTCTGGCTGGTGTCTTTGAGGAACAAAAGTTTTTAACTTGGATGCAGGCCAGTTTACCTGTTTTGTCTTTGGGTCTGTGCTTTTGGTGTTAAATCTAAGAAACTGTTGCCTAATTCAAGGGCACAAAGATTCGTGTTTTCTCTGAAGAATTTTAGCTCTTGCATTTGGGATTTTGCTCCATTTGGAGTTCGTGTTTGCATGTGGTGTGAGGTGAGGGCCCAGCTTCCTTCTTCTGCATGTGGGGCCCGGTTTTCCCAGCCCATGTGGTGGAAAGCCTGCCACTCCCTCGGTGACGGGCCTCAGTGCCCCACAAGTGTCCAGGCCCCCACCCCTCTCGATTTGTTCAGTTTCATGCTGAACGGCACATCACCAGTGGGAGGTCTCCAACTTCAATCATTTTTTTCTTTTTCAAGATCGTTTTGGTTGTTCTGGGTCCTTGGGTTTTCACGTGGATTTGAGGACGCGTCTGTCCACGTCTGCACGGCAGGAAAGGGCAGCTGATACCCTGAGCCAGATCGCGCTGACCCCGCAGACGAGGTCGGAAGAACATTGTCCCCAGTCCGCGCGCACAGCCTGCCTTCCCGTTGGCTTAGGTCTTTAATCTAGCTCAGTGCCGCGCTTCAGCTTTCACTCTGAAACTCTCCCACTTCTTTGTTAAATTCATTCCAAGTACCTAAATCATTTTGATACTATTGCGAACAGGCGTGGTTCTTAATTTCACTTTCAGTTTGTTTATTGCTACACTATGGTCATGTAACCGATTTTTTCAAAATAACGGCTTTATCGATAAACAGGGAAGGGCAGAGGAGGGTTTATGGTTGGTTAGTGGAGAACAGCACAGTGATGAATGGACCGGTTTCACCTCCTCCCAGCTGGAAGCCCGCCTCCGCCCGCCCGCGCAGCGCACGCACGTGAAGTCCCTGCTCTGCAGCGCGTTCGCTCTCACCTCGCATACTCTGTGTCTTTTCCCGTGTTCTCCCCTCATTTCTGCTTTTTACTTTCGGCAAAACAGAGAAAGTGCCGTGTATCCAACCTCACGCACGCGGCGGCGCCATGCGTCTCCACCTGCGAAAACCGCCACCTGTGCACGTGCGCGGCACTCACTCCCGCCGCCTTCCGCTCTCCGGCTCCGCGATTCTGGTGCTCCCGCGCCCCCTGGAGCGGGCCGACTCGTGTCGTCTGTCCTCGGTGACTGGCAGTTTCGTGCAGTCCCTTCCTTCCGGAGTCCGAATGACACCCCACCGTGGGCTGGGGCACGTTTTGTTGAGCCATTCCTGCATCGGGGGCGCACGGGCACTCCCACCGTCCGGCTGCTCTGAGGGTTGCTGGGTGAAACTGTGTACCGCACGGACCGCAGGTCTCCTCCTGTGTTTGACCTGCCTTTGCCTTGACGTTGAGCTGCCACGGGAAGCAACTCTTGTCCGAAGCAGGTGCTCCAGGCTCTGGCGTCCCTCCGGGAGTTGCGGAGCCTCTGGGCCTTGCTAGGTTGGACTCGCTGAGTGTCTGACCCCTGCTTCCAGGTCTTTCAAAGGAAGCTGCTGCCCCCCCCCCCCAGACAGGCGGTACTGCACGAAGCCGACATCCTGGAGAGTGAGGCCCCCTCTCCCCTTGTGCAGGTCCTGCCCCCCCCCCCCAGGCTGAAAGTCAGGGGCTTCTGCCTCAGAGCCCGGAGGCCGGGAGGGCAGAGCTGCAGATTGTTGCTGGGGTCTTCGTGGGGCCTGAGTCCCCTCAGCAGGCACACCCGGCCCCACGCGCGGCCTCCTGTTCTACTGGAAGGCTCAGTACTCATAAGTGGACAAACGGCCCGTCCTCCCGTTTGCAGCGGCCGAGGTCTCAGCAGCTCCACACCCGAACGTGTCCCAATGGCCTGGCGCAGGGAGGGTGAGCCCATGTCAGACTCGGGGCAGCTCTGCGTTCCCCACTGTGTCTAACGGGGCTCATGCCCCCACCCCAGACCCGCTTGCTCCCGCAGAACCAACCCGTGGGTTCCCCATGGCTGCGGGGTTCGCTGGAACAGCCGGTGCACACGGCTGCTGCACTGCGTGGGGCGCAGTTTCCGGGGTGCCGGTGACCCAGCTGGGAGTGGGCCAACCCTGACTTACCCAGAGCCAGAGGTGTTTCCAAAGTCCCCAGCAGGTTTACGAGGGGGGCCTGCCTGCCCGCCAGGCAGCTCGGCCTGCTGAGGACCTTGCCAGGGAGGGGCCTCTGGCCTTGGAAAGAGATGGTCCCTCCCAGAAACAGGTGCCGGGGATCCTACAGGCGCCAACGCAGCTTCTTAAAGTTTGTAAGGAGCGGTCCAGATAGCCGAAAGATTTTGCATCCACGAAACTACAGCGAGAGCAGGAAATTAAAATGCCAAGGGGATATTAAAAGGAAAAAATGGAGGGAATTGCCCAGAAAGTACGACCAAATGACAGAAATTGGGGACCAGAAATAAAGGATTGAGGAACTGCAGGGTCAGTCTGCACCCCGCCTCAGAGTCAGGCGAGGGGAGCACCTCAGCTTAGCACAGAAGTAGCTGTCAGCTGTTGGAGCTGCCAGGGCTCCCCTGAATGGCAGCCTCAGAAAGGGGGCTACACCCCTTGGAGGCTGGGGAGGAGCCTGGTGGCCCGGCTGTCCCGGGGCTTGGGGCTGCATCCCACAGCCTCTGCGTCGGGCCACTCAGCCTCCCCCTCCCAGGCGTGTCTGGGTCTGCCCTTCCGTCTGCCGTGGAGACACCTGTCCCCGGGTCAGGGCCGGCAGACACTCAGAGCAGGTGCAGGACCCCCCCCCCCATCCCCGCTACCGCCTCAGGAGAAAGTCAGCACACGATGCTACTGGGGGCCCCTGCCCTGCCTCACCCCACGCTGCCGTGTCTGCTTCTCTGTGCAGTGGCTCCCCAGCCAGGCCCCAGCCCTCAGACGAGACCGCAGTGGAGGCGGCCCCTGTGGCCACCAGGGAGAAGATCCGATCCAGGTTCCATGGAAGCCACGACCTGATCCATCGCCTGTTTGTCTGCATTTCAGGTGCCACGTGTGGGCCTGGGGTGGGCGTGGGCTTGCGGCCACCTGGGGCTGTGTTTTGGGGGAGTGGCCGGTGCCTGTGGGGGTGGGCCCCGGTGTCCACCGGGGCCGAATTTGGACCAGAATGTGACACGGCAGGATGGGTGGTATGGGCCCTGTCTGGGGCTTCCCCACTGTGACAGGTCACCCTCTCCAAGCCCTGCCGCGAGCCCGTGTGCCCAGTGGAGAGGAGGACTTCGTCTGTGGCCAGGGTCGCCCCGTCGTGGCCCCTCAGCTTCCTGGACAGGGAGGCTCGGCTTCTGCTGCTTTCTCTCTTCCCTGTGGGCGGCTCACAGTGGGAGGCTGGGGGCAGGTGGCTGTTCCATCTCCCAGGATTCAGAGGGGAGCAAGCAAATAGGCATCTTTTCCTGTTCTCCTCGAGCTTTGTGTGTTTTAAATAAGTGCACGCCCACATGATTCAAAAGTATAAAAAGGGTGGCGTCTTTGCCCACGCCTGCCCTTCCCACCCGCTCCCTGGGGGAGGGGCCCCAGCCTGGTGCCTCATCTGGGGCCTCCCCTGCTCAGGGCGGTGGGCGCAGCCACAGTGCAGCCCGTGGACTGGCGTCTCTGCAGAATCGGGGTCATGAGCCCAGAATCGTTGCCCGGCCCCCCCACAGGTCGGTTTTGAGGGTTAAGGAACATTGTGCCCGGCAGGTGCTCAGTACAGCCGGCACACAAGGGGCCCTCTGGAAGCATGGGCCACTGCGTCGTCGCTGGGAGGGGCCACGGGGCATCTGCTCTCTGGCGGGGCACACATAGCTCCCCTTGGCTTCACTGTGCGGAGCAGCCAGCTGCCCTGAAAGAGCCCACGGGGCTGTTGCCTGAGAATGGCCGGGTCTGGAAGGAGGGAGCCACTGCCAAGGGGGCCGTGAGTTCATCCCTCAGGGGTGACTGCTTAGTGGTGGTGGCTGTGACCCTGAGGCTAAGACGTATCTGAGCCTTTGAGTCTGCCCAGGGAGTGTCCCCGGGGCTTGGGCGGAGGTCCTACCCTGGTCCATCTGAAAACACATGGAGTCCCCAGGCGGTCCAGCCCACCCTGCCCTCCCTTGGCCCCCTCCCCCAGGTGTGGCTGACCAGCTGCAGACCAACTATGCCAGTGACCTGAGAAGTATTCTCAAGACCCTCTTCGAGGTCATGGCCACCAAGCCAGAAATGGACGACAAGGAGAAGTTAAAGAAGGGTGAGTGCCAGCCCGGGGACAGTCTGCAGCCGTGCGCCCGCGGTGCCCATCGGCCCCAGGCACCAGCACGTGGGATTCCCGACTCCTAGCCCTGGGCACATGTGGCCTCTCCATGGCCACCCAGCTCTTCCGTGACCCGCCGCACCCCACACAGAAACCACCCAGCCGTGCCGGGCTGTCTGTTGGGGACCCAGGGGCCCACCATACAGGCCCTGCCACTTCCCCGAAAGGCCACCTGCCTGGAGCTTTGCAGGCGGGTCACGTGCCACACACACGCCTGCAAAGGCGGCGCCTGCCACTTCCCCACCTGCCCTCTGCACACGCCCGGCAGGGCCGCCTGGCCTCCTGTGGCCAACAGCAGCTGGAGGGACGGTGCCTGTTTGCTCAGAGATGAGTCCCAGACGTGACATAGCATCAGTTCCCTCAAATCCCATCTGTCATAGTGGTCAGGGGCCAGCCAGAGTCACAGGGGACAGAGGCCCTGCGTCCTGAGGGGGGAGAGGCCCCCAGGGAGCTGCCTCGGGTGTCTGCGCTCCACACAGCACAGGCCCTCAAACATGCTCAGGACATGTGGGTGCATGCATGTGTGCACACACATGTGCATGCTCTCCCACACACACCTGCACACACTCACACAGCCCATCACGTGGTGAGGGAGTGGGGGCAGGTCAGGCAGGGTGCCCACCCCTTGCTCCTGGGAAGAATGGGGGACTTTGGCCTGGGTTTGGGGGTTGACCCCCTGCTGGCAGCACCAACAGGGGACGGGTGATGGTGCACGGAGCCCAGCGGCCACCCTTCCTCTTCCAGTCACCCAGACGCTGCGGAGCGCAGCCTTGGAGGACTGTGCCCTGTGTCAGGAGACCCTGTCATCATCGGAACTTTCAGCCAAGACCCGGGATGGGGACCTGGAAGGTGCGTGGGGGACTCTGGCCTGGGAGGACGCTTCCTCTCTGACCCAGACCACCATGAACACGGCGCTCTACCAGCGGTCCCCACCCAGGCCACCCTGGGAGCTGAGGAGGCACCTCCCAGCATCTCCTCAGCTCCCAGGTGTACACACGGTCCCCTTAGCCACTGCCGAGCAACCCCCGACCCCCTCTGCCTGACGTGTGCCCTACTCTCTTGTCACAGACCCGCCCGAGTGGGTCCCCGATGAGGCCTGCAGCCTCTGCACCGCGTGCAAAGCCCCCTTCACGGTCATCCGCAGGAAGCACCACTGCCGCAGCTGCGGGAAGGTGGGTGGGGCTGGGGACACAGCACAGGGTCTGGGAGTCGCTGACGCCCTGGGATGCAGGGCGGGGAGGGGGCACTGGCGAGGATGTCGGGGGCCTTGTGCAGAGGCCCTGGAGCCCAGGCCCTGCTCCGACTGGACACAGAGCGTGGACCCTGGGCACTTGGCCCGAGCGATTGGGTGGTGCCCGCATCTGCTCCCCACTGCCTTGGAGCTGGGGACAGGGAGGGGACAGGGAGGCGGAATAGGATTCTGCGGCAACCTCGGTGTGGGACTCTCTCCTTCCATCTGGCCTCCAGAGCCATGGCCCATCCCAGGTTTTCCTGAAGGTCATAGCCCCACCCTGGGGCCAGGAGACCCCTCCCGCTGACACCCTGCTTGGTCTGGCTGGGAGGGAGGTGCAGGAGGCCAGAGGCACTCTCAGCTCTGACATTGTCCTCTGGGTGCTCGGCCTGTGCAGCTAAGGCCAGGGGCAGTGGCAGGGGGGTGGGAACCCCTCCCCGCTCACTGCCCCACTGCCTTCCAGATCTTCTGCTCCCGCTGCTCCTCCCACTCGGCCCCGCTGCCCCGCTACGGGCAGGTGAAGCCGGTCCGTGTGTGCACGCACTGCTACATGTTCCACGTCACGCCCTTCTACAGCGACAAGGCGGGCATATGACACGCGCCGGCGCTCCCCGGACCGCCGGGTCCGACAGGTCTCCCAGGAAGGCTGCCCACACTCCCCACCCCTCCACCCAGATGCTGGTTCCTGGAGGGTTTTCACTGCATTCCATCAAGTTGCTGCTGCTGCTGCTGCTGCTGCTGCTGCTGCTGCGGAGACTTCCAGAACGTCCAGGGCCTCCGCCCAGCCACGCTGTCCTCCCCACCTGTCAGGGCCACTAGGAGGTCAGCCTCAGCAGCGGGGGCTACGGGGTGCCAGGTGGCTGCCCAGGCAGGGCAGGCTCTCCTCCTGCTTGTCCACCTGCCCTGCTGAGGTGCCACCTGGAGGCTCAGCCACAGCAGAAGGCCTACTCGGCACAGTGACAGGAAGTGCGGCCGTGGTCGGGGCTCTGGGCAGCCTCAGTGCCTGGGACGCACCTGGTGACAGGGACACCTGTCAGAGAGGGTCTGGGCTCAGAGTTCCACAAAGCTTCCCTGTGAGCTCACCAGCCCAGAGCCCAGGGCGCCCAGCTCATCCCCTGTGCCACCCACATCTGCTCCTGCAGGGCCTTGGCTCAGCCACATGCACCCCATTGCGCCCAGTGCTCCTGCAGGTGAGCCCTGGCCCCGTGCAGCCTGTCCACCCTCATCCCCCTGCTGATGGGGACGGGACAGCGTGGAGACCTGCAGGCAGAGGTTCTGGGTTCTCTGCCCAGGCAGCCAAGGACCAGCGGATGGTGCCCACTTGCCCGCCGCTACCTGCTTCCCTCTGTGCCCTGGGACCGGCGCACCTCCCCAGACCCTGGGGCAGCCGGGCCCCAGCACGGACACCTCCTCAGGCTTAAATCTCAGGCTTCACATTGCAATGACAATTGCAGCTTTATTTTTAGAGAGAGGACTCGCCTCCTGCTTCTTTTATAGGATAAACCCTAATTACTATTTAATGGTGGGATATACCTGCAGAAAATAGCTTCTGGGGGGAGCAGGATTCTGTATTGAGATTATTTTTATTTTCTAAATGCTGTAATTCAAGATCATTTCCATAAATCTATTTACGGGTTGCAGACACTCGCTTGTCTCCCTGTGACCACGGCCACCTGCCCGCCCTCCATCTGGACACGACGGGGCTCCTGCTCACGTGCCCCCTCCCAGGAGGCTGGGGGTTCTGGACTTTTGGGACAATCCATGGGAAGGATTGGCTTCCTTCCCACCAGGTCTCCAGAGGAGGGTGGCCAGCCACCCCAACCCCTGCCTACAAGGGCTCCAGGGCCACTGCCTGCCCACTGGGATGCGTGGTTGCTCTGTCCTTCTGCAAGGACAGCCCCAGCCTAGGGGCAGGACCAGGACCAGGACCCGGGGGTGTGGAGGGTCAGTCTAAGGCAGAGACCGCTGCTCAGGGCTGGGAGAGCCTGCGGTGGGCACCGGGAGAGGGCCAAGAGCACCAGCTGTAAATTCAGCCCTCGAAAGCTGGCCTCAGACCTTGAGCAGGTCAGCCTTCCTGAGCCTCAGTTTCCCCATTGCCCCATCATCGGTTGTCCTTCCTGTTACTGTTTTCTGAGTGATGTCTCGCCCACTCCCTGTGACAATCCCATGTCCCGAGTGGGACCCCCATGTCACAGATGGAGAAACTTAAGTTCACGGAGGTGAGCAGGCAGCACAGCCAGGCACCCAGCTTTCAGGAGGTGGAATGGTGCCGGTGCCTTGTGGACTGCGGGGCAGCGCTGGCCCCTGGGGGCTCTGCCTGGAGGCCACTTCCAGGGAGGCAGCGCCGGAGACGAGGGCTCAGCTGCGTCAGGCACTCCTATGCGGCAGCTGGAGGAAGGCTGGGGGCCGCTAGACGCTGGGCACAGCTGGGCACTTCACTACTCTCTGGGCTGTGCACAGGCCTGGGGAGGAGGCCAGCGTGTTCCCCAACATTCCCCTTAAGTTCCCAGTAGCAGGCGGGGGCCCTAGGCCTGGCTGCCCACCCCCCCGCCCCAGCCCAGGTACTCAGGACTAGGGATCTGGGGAGTACATAAAAGGAAAAATGGTGTTGGTGTCCTGGTTTCTGATGAAGGCGATGAGACTGCCATCCCAGGAGGCCAGGTTGGGGGGCAGCACTGGGGAAACTCCCCTCTCGCCCTCCTGGGACCTGGCTGCAGACCCTCATGACCACCAGGGGGCGCCCGTCCCTCCACCTCCTCTCCCAGTGGCCTGACTGGGGGGGTTGGGGGCAGAGGGAGAACTGCCTGCAGGGGTCGCCATACTGTGCTTGGGCATTCCATGACCAGTCATGACCACCAGCAAGGCCACACCCACTGGCCAAGCCCTAATCCTTCAGGTCCTTAAGGCAGTTGGAGGGTCCATAGAGGCCCCTGGCCTAGCGAGGACCACAGGCAGGGGAGACCCCACCCAAATGGCTCTGGGAGCGGGTGAGAGGGGTCCTGGTCAGAGCTGGGCACCTCGGCCCCAGGGCTGGGGCGCAGAGGTGCACTATGGAGGGGCGGCCCCGCCTCGCCTCTGGACTCTGAAGCAGGAGCTAGGGCAGGTGGGCAGGACTCAAACTGCCCACCCCATGTTGCCCGGTCTTGGAGGCACTTGTCTCCTCCCAGGTCACCCAGAGCTACCTCCTCCAAGCAGCCTTCCATCCAGTGGTGGCCCCAGCCCCCGCCCACACACGCATTGTCAGAGCAGGGCCTAGGCAGGAGGGTCCCCTCGCAGGGCCAAGTGAACCTGTCAGAGCCGCTGCTGCCCCTGAGGCTGGGCAGGAATGGGCTCCAGGCCAGCACGGGGCAGTGCTTCAAACTCACCCGCACACCAGCTGAAACATGAGCAAGGTCTGGGTTCTGCTGCTGTGCCCAAGTGTCCCCAAATGGTCTGCAAGGATGGGAACCCTGGTACTACGGACCTTCCTGCTCTTGGGGGCCTGCAGGCCTGGGGACGCTGGAGCTGACGATGCTGACTGGGCCTTGAGGGTGAGCAGGGTGTGTCTGTGGAGAATGGGGTGCCAGAGCTATAGAACGGCCCTGAGAGACTGAGGGGGGCCAGCAGGGGGGCCCAGATGGGGAACGTGGCACTGGGAAGCCCTGGGAGGGCTCTGAGCAGGGGAGGAGCAGGTCTGTGCAGGGAGGGCGGCCCCACTGCTAGGACCAGAGCTACACCAGAGGCAGTAACACAGCTTAGCCACAGTCACCACTCTGGCTTTGCCGTCCCCTCACCCCCAATCACTCAGGACTCTGTGATCCCAGGGGCCTCTGTACCCTTGGAATGAGGCCACACTCACCAGAGTCTGACCTGCTCTGTGTGTGGAAGCCGCTGGATGATGGGCCCTGGGAATGGGGAGCTGGGTGGGTTCTTGGGCTCAGGCCCTCGGAGCAGCCAGCCAGCGGCGAGGAGGGCTCTACCCTAGGATGAGCACAGCAGCCAGGGCCACCTGGCCATGGGCTGGGGGAGGTGGGGGAGCAGGCCAGGACGGCACCGGGCAGAGGAGCCTGGACGGCACGACCGGGAGAGGGGTGTCGGGGTTAGCCCCAGGCCCTTATTGTTCCTGGCAGCGGGAGACTGCAGGAAGGGCTGCCAGGGCTCAGGGAAGGCTCTCTGGAGCACGTGGCGGGCACCTGCTGGAGACCCGCACTACACAGCTGGACCCGGGGCACCTGGGCCCCGCCCCGACGAGGGCCCCGAGCGGGGCCAGTACGCGAGCCCTCCTGCTGCCCTCTTCCTCTCCCCGACTTGCGTTTTAGCCCGCGGCACCCACCCGCCCAGCCGGGGCCGGTCCGCTTTAACCGCCCCTCCGCTCGCTGTCTTCCCTTCCCTCCTCTCGCTCGCGCTTCGCGCCGCCCGCGCACTCAAGTGCAGACTCCAGGGCTCCCCTCCGCCTGGGACTCCGACGCCTTTGCCCACGCCAGGCCCCGGCGCTCCGGCCACGCCCCTCGCTCACGCTGCTCACCCGGCCCCTTCTGCCCACTGCCCGCGGTACCACCGCGCCCACACTCACAGGCGGTGGGGATCCCCGTGGCACCCGATGTGGCTGGAGGAGGGGTCCCCGAAATGGCCTAGATGTCAGTGGAGGAAAGGTGGGGACGGCCCCTTCTGGTCTCAGGCTAGCACGCGGCTCCCACCGTAAGCCCTGGGAACTTGCGCCGCCCGCTGGAGTACCAGGCGCACCGCAGGCCCCACCGCAACCGGCAGGTGCGCGCACACTGGGTGAGGTGCTACTTAGGCCTGCGGCCCCCCAGCTCCCTCTTTGCAGACGCAAAGCTGGAGTGACTTACAAAATGTTGACCAGCAAGTGATGAGCCAGAGATCCCGCTTCCTGTCCCCCAGAACCCGCAGTGCTCCCGCCCCTCCCCAGGGCTGAGCAGCCCTGCGTGGCCCCTGGCTCTCGTTAGGAGCTCTGCCGTGGCCCTGGGGTGGTTGTGGGTCAGGGCCAGGAAGCACGGGGTCAACGCGGAGAGGTGGTTTCACTGTCTGGGCGGGGCCGTCCACCCCGCGTGCAGGCTGCATCCAAGCCCTCCCGGGGCCCCACCACTCTCAGGGCGCCCGTGCCTAATCCTGCTTCTCACCACACCGCGGTGGCTGTCATTCCAGCAAGTCGTGCTGGGCCAGGAGGTGGCTTGGTCTCGACACTGCGTGTCACCCACCCTGCATCACCCGTATGGGGTCCCTAATTTCCATTCTGCGGAGGACTGCCAGGAAACCCAGGGAACCCCTAAACCTCGGGATTCCCTGTGCCCTTAGCTGCGAATTGTGGATGCAGAAACTCTCAAGGAAATGCATGGAAAGCGTCCACGAGGGCCCAGGACCAAAGTGACGAGGTCTTTATAGTGTTTGTTTTATTTTAGGACTGGCGAGCAGCGGTACCCCCCATTTAGAAATTATGGAGGGGTCCGGCCACCTTATCCCCCACACTCCACAGCCTAAGAGCTCCCAGGCCACCAATGAGAGGCAAAGTCAAGGAGGACGGAGGCCGGTCTGGGGCTGCCACCATGCTGCCCACCCTGCGGGTCAGGGATCACCAGGGCCAGTTGCCAGCTGGGAGCTTCCTGGGCAACTCTCTTCCACAATAAGCTTTTCCCTGGCCAGAGGGACCAGCACCTGCCTCGTGGAGTGCCCTCATCCTCCAGTCACACAGGAGCACGCAGCCCTGCCCTCACCGGGAGACCCTCCCGACTGCGGCGGCAGGTCTTCTCCCCCTTCTCTAGGCCTAAGGCCCCTCCTTCTGCTCTGGGGTCCATTGGACAGCTCTGAGAGACACCCCCGCCTCAGTTGCCCAGCTGACATCCTCACGGAGATCTGGCTCTTGGGCTGTCTACTCCCCTCTTCCGAGCTCCGGCCTCTCCTGGGGTCGCCCTGGGTGGGGCGGGGATGGATGTCGTTTTCAGGACCACGCGATAGTGCAGAGGGCACTGCGAGGCCACGTGCTCCCGCGCAGCCAGTACTTCAGGTCGCTCCGGGGCTCCAGGCTCCTCCTGCGCACGCTATGCCCACCCAAGACTGGCGGGGCTATCCCGACGCTCCCCGCGCCCTAACGGGTTCTCGCTCCGGGCCCAGCGGTGGGTGCTCAGTCTCACAGTACTCCGCTTCCTCTCAGCAACGCTACCGGCCACGGCGCCCTCATTGGCTGCGCGCCCCGCGGCCGGCCATTGGTCGGGGGCCCCTGTTTTACATAGACCTCTCTGAGCCAATCGGCGCTCCGCGCCTACTTAACATTCACGCCGGCCGCCAGTCAGCGAGCGCGGGGGCCGGGCCACCACGTGCTGTTGCTAAGCTTGGGCTTCTAAATTGTTACTAGCGCTGCTGGCCTATCCGAACCGAGCTTCGCATCTGTCAACATTCTGGGCCCGGCCCGAGGCGTTCGGCCGGCTCCCATTGGCCTCTGACTAAGCCAATGCCCGCCTCCGGAGCTCTAGTGTCGGTCCCTATTGGCTGCATCGGCCGCCGCTCGCCCTTAAGTGTCAATTTGAGGGCCCGAGGCAGAGGGTGGCGGCCGAGCGCTCGCGGAGTCCGCGGGAGTCCGGGCAGTGGGGCCGCCGGGCGCGCGGGGCGGGCGGCGAGCGGAGCCGGCCGAAGCAGGCCGGGCAGCGGCCGCCGCCGTCCCGGAGCGCGTGGGCTGGCGCAGGCGGGCCGGAGGATGGAGCTGAACTCCTTGCTGATCCTGCTGGAGGCGGCCGAGTACCTGGAGCGCAGGGACAGAGGTAGCGCCCGCGCCCCTTTGTGCTCCTGGCTGCGGGCGGGCGGGCGGCGGGGCCGGGGCGGGGCCCGCTGACCGCACCGTCTGTCCTCAGAGGCCGAACATGGATACGCCTCGGTGCTGCCCTTCGATGGCGACTTCGCCAGGAAGAAAACAAAGACGGCCGGCCTAGTGCGCAAGGCCCCGAACAACAGGTACCGCCCCCCACGCGGCCGCCCCCGCCCTTCTCCTGCGCGGGGCTTCCTTTCTCTCCGGTTCCGTCCCCGGCCCCGACCCCCGGCCTGCAGGCCGGCCGCCGCCAGCCGCCAGCCGCCGCGCGCCCCGGCGGCCAGCCTGGAGGAGGCGCGCCCGTGCCGCGGACGCAGCCCCGCCCGGACGGCCCCGCCCGCGCCGTCGCCATCTTCCTGCGGGCCGCGCCTCCTCGGCCTCTCGCGTAAACAGTGCCACGCGTACAGCCCTGCCGCTCGGGGTCTCCTCCCGTAGCCGCTCCCCGCCCCCAAGTTGTTCTGGACTTTTCCGGGCAGGAAAAAAGTTGTCAGTGGGCGTTGGCCGGTGCCCCTTGGGCCCGGGGCAACTGAGGCTGGGTACGGAGCAGCGTTAGGGCTGCCGGGGGCTTGGGGAGGGGGCGCATCTATCCGACTGTCTCCAAAGGCCGAGCCCTGCTGCTGGGCTGAGTTTCCCCAATCCCAGGGGCCTGGACAAAGAAGGCTCATGGAGGCCCTACCCTGACCCCCACTCCTCCATGCTACCCGGTAGCCACGCTCCTGTCCAGCCAACCTGCTAAGACAAGTGAAACTGGGGCGACAAGTGTTCCAGTCCCCTTGCTTGGGGCTGGAGGCCCTTTTTAAGGGGGCAAGAAGAGGGAGCAGTTTGCACAGCTTCTCCTGATGCCAGAACCCCCACCCTCAGGCTGCAGACACCCTGAAGCTGGGGTGTGCATCCCTGGGTAGGGACTAGGGAAGACCTTCAGCAAGGGCTTCAGTGGGGTTCCCCTTTCCCGGCAACCAAGAGGACCACAGCAAAGGCCCACTTTGGCCCAGGTCGTGTCACCAGGCTGGGAGCTGCACTTGCAGGGGGCTCTGGAGCCCCTGGCAGAGGGTGCGGCTCATTCCTGTGGCCTGCTTGTTCTTGGGAAGCAGAAAGGCTGGCACAGGGACCCATCTCCTGTGACGTCCTGGCGCCCTGGGCCTGGCAAGGGATTGGTTCAGTCTCCGTCTGCCCTGGCTTGGGACATGCCTCTGAGCCCCAGCCTCTGGTCGGCTGCTGGGGACAGTTTGGGAAAGTACTTTGGTGTTGGGGGTGAGGGACACTGCCTCAGGCCTCTCCAGGCCCCTGCTATTGTCCCTCACTGTCCCAAGTGTCCGGCCACCCGTGGGAAAGTCCAGGGTGTGACCCCCATGGCCTGGCTGATAACGAGCATCACAGTTAACACTCTGTGCTTCCTACGTACCAAGGGTTTTACCCGCATGTCAACTAGCAGCCACCCAATTCCATGAAGGAAATGTTCTTTTTTTCACCATTTTAGGGCTGAGGAAACAGGCAAAGAGATTGAACTACTTGCCTCCCTCCCACCTCTGGGACTCCTGTCCAAGGTGGGGTGCTAGTCTCCCACATCTTGCTGGGACGGAGGCCCTGAGGCTGCTGGGGAGGGTCTCCTGGACTGGGGTGCATCTCCCACTGCTCCTCTGGGCAGAGCCCTGTGTCCCAGTGCTTTGGGCACCCAGGGTTCACGGGATGGCCCCTCGAGCCCGTCCTGGCCCCACTGGGCCTCAGCCAGCCCAGACCAGGGCTAGTGCAGAGCAGGGCCTAGAGTCCCTGCGGCCCTGACGTGGCGGCCATCCCCACACCTGCCAGTTGAGGAAGGGTAGGGTTCAGCAGGGGGGTTGGAGCCAGCCTGCCGGGAGTCAGACCCTACAGGAAACTGCTCAGAAGAGCTGTTTCAGGGGTTGACACGAGGGGCAAACCATGTGCTGCAGGGAACGAGTTTAGGGTAGCCCTGGCCAGGGAGTCTTACCTCTCCCCAGGCTGCCGTGGGAAGCATAGCCCAGGATGGGGTGCTCCTGGGACCTAGGTGACATATCTTCCCACAAGGTTCCCACAGGTGTCTGGTCCCCTCTCTGTCCCCCTGCTCCTGACAAGTGCTCTTCCCCAGCAGGGTGGAGTCCAGCCCAGGCCTCCAGCGGGTGGGCAGGTGGGCTTCTCTGCACTGAAGGACACTCGCTGATCCCTGCATCCCTCACAAGTGGGCAGACTACAGAGCCACGCAGCCCATCTGCGGTACAGGCCAGCCAGGAGCTTGGCGGCTGTGCCCTGTCCTGGACCTGGGGGGTTTGGAGGCATCTTGCCCAGCCCCTGTGACCAGCAGGCACTCAAGGCCCCTGAACCTGGTTCTAGAAGGAGGCCTGCAGCTGCTGCCCTAGCAGGAGACGGGGGACCTTGGGCCCCAGGTGACTATTGGGTCCACAAACCATGACAGGTAGCAGAGGAAGGCAGGATGGGGAGGCACCCTGGCTTCATGGGTGGGGACGGAAGATGCCTTGTCTTGAGTGTCTGGAGCAGGAGAGCCTGAAGGCGGGCAGGCAGGCAGGCTACAGTCCACAGAAGCCCCAGGCATGGGGCCGGGTCTGGTTGCCCCAAGGTGGCCTGGGTCTCTGCTCACGTGGGAGGCAGCCTGGATGGCCCAGGAGCCCTGTGTGACCCAAGAGGCTCATGCCTGGACCGGGGGGTGACGTGGAGATGCCTAGCTGTCCCCCTGGACAGACACTGGCACTGCCACTGCAGCGCTCCGGACTCTCTACCCCAGCTGAATGGGCCAGATCGGCGGGGCTCGAGCAGTAGACGGGGCCACTGCCTCCAAGGCCGAGTGCATGAGCCTCGCGTGCAGGGTGGCCACTTCTGCCAGACCATGACCTGGAAGGAGGTGGAGGGCCCATTTGGGTCTCCCACTGCCCACTGTCCCATGAAGCAGCCACATCTCAGAGGCCTCACGGGTGGCCTCCAGGGCGCAGGGCCTGCTCTGTCCTTCTGGATTCCGTCGGCATGATAGACTGTGACCGTGTCTGTGTAGGAGCCTGAGGGGTGGGAGGGTGCTCTGGCCAATGACATGGGACAGGATCGCTCTCTGTCCCGAGTACTGGTCTTTGTACCAGCACTCTCAGCTCCAAGGACCGCTGGCCTTGGGGGGTGGGGAACAGAGAAGGCAGGTGGCTCTGTGCCTAGGCAGTGGCTCTGGGACCAGCTTTGGGAGCACAGGGTGGGTCGGCCCCAGCACTGGCTACCACAGGTCCTAAGGTCACACCCGCCCTTTGTGGATGGGGACCCAGACCTCCCTGCAGGCTGAGTCCCCACGTGCCTCAGTAGGTGAGCTGGTGGGCCCTGGGTGCCTCAGACATGGCCGTACTTCTGTGTGGCCTTGTCACTGGTGCCAGGTTCCCCCGGCCTTTGGTCAGCAGCTGCTCACCTGCTTGGCGCTCCCTGTTCTGGGCTGTGCTGGGGCCCAGATTCACCCCCGGGCGGCAGTAGAGCCGGGGCCCTCAGTGGAGCTGTTGTCCTGTGCTCCGAGGGTCGGGCAGTGCAGTGAGCTTTGTTTCTCTGTCTCTCTGAACAGGTCTTCACACAACGAACTAGAAAAGCACAGGTAAGTGACCCCCGGGCCCCCACCCCCAGCTCCTGGGTACAAGCTACCTGACACATCGGCCAGGGGAGGCTGCGGGCAGCCTCCCACCCATCACCCTGTGTGTGGCTGGCCACTCTGCCAGGCTGTGCCCTCACCTTGGTCCAGTTGGTCTTGAAGGAAGAGGCCAGGCTCTGCTGTCAAGCACTCCTGTGCTGGGAGGCAGGGGTGGGCGCCCAGGCCAGGGGGCTCAGCCTATATCCAGAGCCAGGTGGGCGTCAGGGACTTGGGGCAGGGTCCCTTTGCCATGTGGCAGTTAGGACCAGTTCCCTGGCGGAGGAGATTGATCTGCTTTGGGGTGTCCTTTAGGGAGCGCGCCTTAGCCCTCCAGATGTTGGCCTCTATCCAGGAGGATCAGCCCTTTGGGTCTGGTGCCTCCTGTGCATCTTGTTTGCAGGGCAGTGGGACAGGTAGCCAGTCCCAGGCCACATGGGCCCAGGGGAAAAGCTCTGGCCCAGGGCAGCATCCAGCGGAGCCCACTTCATGCCCACCCTCTGGCCGCAGAGCTAGATCCACTTGGGTCTCCCTGGAGGAGGGGGACCTTTGTCACTGGGAAGTGGGAAGGACAACACAGTCCCCAAGAAGTTGTTTTGCTCCAGCCCCTGTCACTACTCCTTCCCCGGTCAGGTGTGGGGACGAGGCCCTGACAGGCGTGGCTCCTGCAGGCAGGTGCCCTCGGGGCTGATCACTCAGGTCGGGGGGAGTTTCGGGTGAGCGTGAAGACCCCCCAGGCAGGAGCCCTGCTGCCAGCACCAGAGATGACCCCCTAGGGACACTGTGCTGGAGCTTTCTTCTGACCTTTGCTCTCATCTGTATAATGGGCCAGTTCTTCCCTCCCTTCTTGGGTTCCGGGAGAGGTGTACATTCCAGCTGAACCTTCCTGGCCTGCTCTGGGAGGGTTTGGAGTTTGGCCAGCTATCTGTCCCACCCTCCCCCCTACACACACACACACACACGGCCACGGCAGCGCCAGCTTCCGCTCCCCTGGGACCGGGCCTGCGCGGGGCGGGCGCTGGGGCAGGGACAGGACGCCGTGTTCTCTAGAGGAGTTGCACTTCCTGGACTGGTCTTGTGTGTTTGAGGGGCTCCTGAGGCCGTGGAGGTGGGGCAGGTGCCCAGGCTGTCAGACAAGCTCTGGGGCAGCTGCCAGGCCAGAGGCAGGGGTGCCCTTGAGTGGGACCCAGGAGCCCGAGCAGGTTCGTGGGCCACTCTGGGGAAGGCTTGCTGGGGGTGGCTCCTAGAACTGCCCCTCAGTGCGGGCAGAGGTAATGAGGTTGGGGGAGGCAGGGTGGCAAGGGTATGGTAGCCCTTCAGAGTAGGGCAGGCACTGGCCTTTGACCTCTGCAACTTCCCCTGCTCCTGGCCTTGGCCTCAGCGGCCTTCTCCGAGAGCCCGCACTTAGGCTGAGCCTCATGGGTCCCTTTTGAGACACAGAGGGGTCTCTACCTGGCTGGCCAGGAGGCAGGTGTGGACAGCCTGAGGAACCCATAGGCCTGGGACTGCGGATGCTGGTGGGGACCTCGGTTGCGGCTGCGCCTGTGCTGCCCGGTGCTGACGCCGAAGGCTGCCGGCTGTGGGCGCAGGAAGGGCTGTGTGCCGTCCCAAGGGAGGGAGGGAGCACCCCGGCAGGCCTCCAGGGCTTCGGGCCCCGGACACCGTCTTCCCTGGACATGTGCTCGTGCTAGGCCTGCAGGGACTTGCTCGGGGCTGACCTGAGTAGTCGTCCTTCCTCCCTCCTGCCTCAGGGACAGGACTTTGGCAAACCTAGTCTCTAAGGCCAGTATTGGACTACTGATGCTGGAGGCTTGGGGATCATGGAGGCCTCATGCTCCCTGACAGGATGATCCCGCACATGCGAGTGTCAGGGCTCATCCTGACGGCCAGCCCGAGGTCCTCTGTGAGGCCCCCTCTCCTGGCGTGTCCGGGGCCTGGCAGATGCCCGCCTATGTGGCCCCTCCTGGCCTGTGTAAACCTCACAGCCAGAAAATGCAGGTGACCAGGAGGGGAAAAGGGGCTACGCGTACTCCCCCGTATCCAGCGCATTTCTCTGCTGCCTCTTCTGTGACGTCCAGGCCCCGGGGTGCTCTGAGTATGGACGGCTGGGACCGTGCTCCTCAGGTGCTGGGGGATGCTGCTCAAGAGCTCTGGGCCCCGCACGGAAGCACGGCTTGTGGCGAGAAGCTAGGAAGGGCCTGTGTCCGGGCCGGCTGGGGCATCCGCACAGACAGCACTGCTGTTGACAGGAGCGCGGTGATCCCCAGAGGCAGGTTCTGGCTCCTGCAGCCACACACGGTTCCTCCAGGAAGCACTGGGTTTCCGAAGCTCCCAAGGATACTAGGGACAGCCATGGGCGCTGGCGGGGGGTCTGGCCCTGCAGCCACCTCAGAGAGGGTTTGATGAGTGCACCCTGCAGCCCTGGGCAGGCCTGGGGGTGCCCATGCCCCACAGTGGTGGGTACTGGGCCCGAAGGGCAGGGACCTGCCTGGGGCCCCACCACCCACGCTGCTAGGGCTACGTGGGCATGTTGTCACGTATGGTCAGGTGGCCTGTCTGTTGAGAAATGTGATTGCTGAAGCAGATGGTTCCCGTCTGTCAAGGATGCTCATGGACTTGCCCTGTGCCCCCCCAACCCCCACCCTCCCGCCCTGCCATCCTAGGCAGCTGGGGGGCTGTGTGTGCCTCCTCCCCTTCCATTGCAAGTGCTGACTTGGGTGAGAACAAGACCTTACTGTCCACTGTCTCCTCACTTGACCTTTCACCTGGCACTACCCGAGCACTGTCCCCCATGTCCCTAGGCTCGCCTCCCCCTGCCGGGTGCCGTCCCAGTGCTGCCCCAGTGCAGGTTCTTAGCCACCTGGTTAATGCAGCCGGGGCTGCAGCGAACATGGGACGTGTCGCGTGTCTGGGGGTAGCTTTGCGGGACCCAGATGGAGTAGAAATGTGGGTTAGAGGTCTGAGTCTCCTCGACGGCCTTCAGCCCTGCAGTCGGCCGGCAAAACCTGCAGGGCCCGCGCACTGGCCAGCGGAGCCGGCGAGCACCTCCTCGTGTCTGCCTAAACTAGCGCGTCCCCGGTGAGCTCTCACGGCCTGGAAGCTGGGGGGCGTCAGCTCTGTGTCCTCTGTGCTCCGCAGCCCGCCTGTTTGTGTCCTGTGGCCATTTCCACGTCGAGACGCTCCCCTTTCCATGTTTGCTGTGTATGAGCTCGAACTGTCACCAATACTAACTGTTGTCTTTACGTGTATTGCAGATACCTTCCACTGTTATTTGTCTTTTAGCTGTTTTTTCTTTCTTGTACAAATGTGTCTTTTTCTGATTGTAAAAGTAATGTGTGGTTTTTTTAGCATAGAAAACCTGGAAAGTGCAAAAACAAATCAAAACAGAACACAAAACCAAAGAAATAAACGTTGCCAACCGCCTCCCCTGGAGACGCGCTTCCTGCTCTTCATTGTGTCCTGCTGAGTCTCTCATGTGCGTCCCGCTGTCTTGCCCCCCACGAGCGGTGCTGGGGCGCTGGTCACGCGGTGGTCGCGCGCCGGCCTTCTCCCCGACATCCGCAATGCGAGTGCGTGGCACGTGCTGGACCGATGATGCTGTCGGTTGTCTCTGGGGGTGGAACTGGGGGGTACTGTTCATTTATTTTTTTCCTGTTGGTTAGCATTTTCCGATTTTTCCCCAAGATCATGTGTTGAACATGTAAACAGTAGAATTGCCATTTGCTGTGGAATAAGTGGGCAAGGGAAACTCCCTCCCACCCTGGGTGGCGGGTGCAGGGGCCCGAGGCGGAAGGGGGTGATTAGCAAGCTCCTCTGCAGCTCTGCCCAGTTCTGGCCCATCCTCAACGGCAAGCACCCTGGTGTGTGGAGGCGAGGAGGCCAAGGTCTCTGGACTCTGGGGGACCGGGGCTCACAGCAGTGGCTGGAGACCCGAAGGTGTGAGTTCCAGAGCCCCCCACATACCCCCTTCCCCAGCCTTGTGTTCGTGCGGGGTCAGGGGCTCACCTCTGAAGATGCTGGAGCCTGGGGACCTCGCTGCACACAGGTCTGCAGGGTCTGGGCTGCTGGGTCCTCACAGTCTCTTGGCTGACCCAGCATAGCCTCTGTCCTGTGTCCTAGAAGTTCTTTCTAAAGGTCTGACTTGGTTTCACCCAGAGAACTTCCAGGGCCCAGGGTGCTGGGGTGGGGGTGGTTAGATACGCTTCGTCACAGGAGGGTGCTGTGTGGACGCAGGTGAGAGGCCCAGGCTCTGGGTGCCCGTATATCCGGAGCTGGTGCCACCTGCCCACTTTCCTCCAGGGTTTCTGAGGCTGAGCAGGAAGGGTCTGCTGGGCCTTGGCTCATAGGCAGCAGGAAGGAAGAGGGGCACGGGCAGTGTGGGCACGCCGGCCCCGTGGCCTCTCGGCTCTTCTCCCAGAGCGGAGCCTGAGCAGAGACAGCGCCGTAGCCCGTGAGAGCCGGTGGGGCCCAGGCCGTGGCATCTTGGGGGCTTTGGGGTGAGCTTGAGCCACCCCCGGTCTGCCCGCCGGCCTCCCCAGACTGGAGGGACGGGAAAGGCAGTCTGTGTGGGCCCGTGGCCTGAGGGCCTGAACAGACCCCTGAGTCCCGTGGCTGCACTGTTGTGGGAAAACTGCATCCGTCTGCACGGAAACAGGGACGAGATCTGAGAGAAGCAGTTTCCCAAGGAATGCCAGCCTGGAGGGGTGCGGGGGTCCAGGCCTCAGCACTGGACGGACTCCTGCTTCTGTGGTGATGAGAGTGACCAGTGAGCACCCTGCACTTGGCGAGGTGGGGGACATAAATCTGGCCTGAGGCCCCTGGATCTCGGGGAGCAGCCTGACTAGCACCCCACCCATGCCTCCCCAACCTCCTCTAGGCTGTCCCCCTGCCCACCAACTCCACTGTGGGGGGCGGTGAGCTGGGGCTCCCAGGCAGCACCTGGCCCTGGTCCCTGGGAGGCAGCGGGGCCGGCTGGACACATGGGCCCGGCTGCAGGTTCTTTTTCTCTGCTGGGACACTTGGAGGCCTGTGAGTGCCAGGCTGCCCTGAGTCTTGGGGAGCTGCCATGCTGTGGGGAGAGAGCTCCAGACAGGGGCCCCCAGCAGCAGTTCGGCCCTGCCACCTCCAGCCCTCCCTCAGGCCTCTCGGCTGCTTGGCTGCCTCTGCCTCTGCGGGCGGGGCTGCCCACCTGATGGCTCTGTCTCTGGCTCTTTTAGACGAGCCAAGCTCAGGCTGTACCTGGAGCAGCTGAAGCAGCTGGTTCCCCTGGGCCCCGACAGCACCCGCCACACCACGCTGAGCCTCCTGAAGCGCGCCAAGACGCACATCAAGGTGAGCAGGGCCACACCCTCTGCCCCTGCCCTGACCACCTGCCTGGTCCGACACAGCCCATCCGTCTGTAACCTGGGGCATGGCCGAAGGGCCCTCGGGTCGAGTGGGGAGTTGCCCTGCAGGTGTACATCTGGGGCCTGGCAGTCTGGGGGTGGGTGGTGAGCAGCAACAGGAGCTTTTGAGGGTTGAGGAAGTCTTGGGCACACGTGGGGGTCATTGGGTGGGGCTGGGGAAGGTGGAGGTGACAGTTGGCTCTCCAGGGTGCTGGCTGTGAAGAGCAGCTGGAAGGAGAGGGGGCCAGGAGGGCAGAGTGCCTTCAATGCTGGGAGGTCTGCAGGAAGTAGGTGCCCAGCAGTGGGGGCCTTTGGGGCCGAGGGCTGGCAGTGGGGCGTGAATAAGTGAGACGTTGCTGACGCAGGCCCCCAAGGTCTGAGACAGAGACCTGCTGGTTTGGGGTCCCATGATACTTGGGCCAACCAGGGTGGTCTTAGCCCCCTTGCAGGGCCCCTGGGGACTCCACAAGCACCGGTATTGACGGGCAGGGTGACGGGCACAGTCAGAGCAGGCAGAGTCTGTCTGCAGAGGGTGAGGGGGCTGGGCGGAACAGGTGTCGTGTGGGTGGGGGAGGGTGGCCCAGGGCAGCACTGTCCTCGGGGAGGCGGGGCCAGGCCAGGACTGAGCAGTGCCGTTCAGGGGCTTCAGGCCTGCGGAGGACTTGGCTGGTCGGTGGCTGTGAGCTCTGAGCTGGTCGGCAGAGCCCAGGGCTGGGAGGTAGTTGTCTGATAGAACCCCCAAGCTGAGGTGAGGTAGGAGTGCACCTGCTTTGGGGGCCTGTGGGGCCAGGGCACAGGCCAGGAGGGGGACAGGGAACCTGCTCTGGTCCCAGTGTGGGGCAGGGGTGTCCCCCGGCTCACGGCCTCCCCGTCTCCAGAAACTGGAGGAGCAGGACCGCAGGGCGCTGAGCATCAAGGAGCAGCTGCAGCGAGAGCACCGCTTCCTGAAGCGGCGGCTGGAGCAGCTGTCCCTGCAGAGCCTGGAGCGCGTGCGCACGGACAGCACCGGCTCCGCTGTCTCCACTGACGACTCGGAGCAAGGTGGGCACGGGCTGTGCGCCCCCGAGTGGGGGGAGCTGGGAGGCTGGGGCGGGCCAGGGCGGTGGCTGGGGAGAGCAGTGGTGGGGGCGGCAAATGCCCACTGGACAGCCTGTCCCCAGCCAGGTGACCTGTCCACCCGAGGGACACACCTGGGCTCCAGCCCGGCCCTGTGCTGGGGGGCCGGTGTTCACAGCTGAGCCGTTGAGGGAGCTGGAGCCCCCTCTTGCCTGCACCCCACCCCTGGAGCCTCTGCCACCTCCACAAAAGGCAGAGGTTGCCCTGACTCTGCCAGGAGCCTGGAGGGCACGCTCGCAGTCCCTGACTCATGCCCTCTGCTCCCCCAGAAGTGGATGTAGAGGGCATGGAGTTTGGCCCTGGCGAGCTGGACAGTGTTGGCAGCAACAGTGACGCGGATGACCACTACAGTCTGCAGAGTGGCGGCTATGGGCCCCCCTGCCGGCGGCCTGCCCGCCCCGCCCTCTCGTAGGCCTGGCACCCTCTGCTCCTGGCCCGCCTGCTGCCCAGCCGTGCGCATCAGCCCTCCAGCCCTCTCCAGCCTCTCCGCGGGCCCACTGCTGTGCCATCCTGGGAGCTCCAGCAGCTGCCTGGGCTGCCCACCTCCACCTGCCTGCCGGTCAGGGCCCACCTCGCCACCCGCCACTCCCAGCTGGGCAGGGACCCCTGCAGGGAGGCGGGCCCAGCTCCTGAGTCCCGGAGCCCAGCATAGCCACCCATGGTCTGTTCTCAGATTCCTAATCATTCCAGAAGTATTAAATGTCATTGCTGCAAACCTCGGCGGGCACCGTGTGAGGGGCTTAGTGACCGCCTTGGGGAGCTCAGACCCCACCCTGGACACCAAGATAAAGAAGTGGACCGAGGAAGGAAGGAAGGTGTGGCTCTCCGTCATCCATCTGTCCATCTATCTGTTGGTCCATGTAGGCTCCTGAAGCATGGACAGAAAGATCCATGAAGGGCGGGACTCGGGTGAGCACCCTGGGGCAGGAGGTGGGGAGTCTTTGCAGCCCAAGGGGGTCAGGAGCCAGGGCTAGGCTCCTGGGGCAGGCCAGGCCACCCCACACCCAGCTGGACAGCTTCTGCTTTGTTAGGTCCCTCAGGGTACACACGCATGCACCTAGGCACATCTGCCCGCCTGCACACACGCACACACAGTCACTTGTGGTCACCCAACCCAAAGGGGTCCTGGGGTGGCTCGTCTTCAGGGGTCGCCCGAGCTGGCGCTGGCCCCTGGCCTGTGCCTGGCTCCCCTCCCACCCCCATTCACCCACCCAGTCTTCATGGGAAGGGGTTTCACCTCCCAGCAGAGGCTGAGGTGTGTGCTAGAGGCCCTCAAACTGAAGCCACTGGGTCCTCGGGGCTTTCTGGTTTCCCATTTTTTTTAAAAAAGCAGAAAACAAACAACCATCGGGCTGCAGGGCAGAGCAGGGCTCCCCACGGGGAAGCTTTCCCAAAAGACGAAAAGCGTGTTTGAACAGAGGAGCCGCTCTCGGGTCTCTGGCGAGCACTGCCGGCCTGCCGCGCCACCTCCCTTTCCTGCACGAGATTTTTGTACTCTATTTTCCTAGTCCTCGTTGTGTCCCCGTTTGCTGAGGGTTGGGAGTGACCCAGCATCTCAGGGACTCGCCTGCCTGCCACCATCATCCAAGTGTGCCTTGTGTCCTGTGCCTGACCCCACCCCAACCACCACCACCAGCATCTCCCTTGTGGCTTGGAGGACTGCACCCCTCCCCCGGCCTGCCCAGCAGGTGTCGTCCTGGCCCCTCCCCATGGACCCGCCCCTCCCTGCAGCCACGTCGTCCAGAGAGTGAGACTGCAGCGCCAGGTCAGAGGCTGCTTTCTGTCACTGGGCAGGAGGGGCCATGACCACCCCCCCCAGTGTCACCTGCCCCCGTGGCTGGCAGGGACCCACTGTGCCACCTGGCCTCCAGGTGGGGGGGGGGCCTGCTAACGTGAACCCAGCGTGAACCCTCCCTGCTCCCCTGCCTGGGGCGAGGGTTCCAGACTTCAGACGTTGGCAGCTAACGAAGTAACATTCACCCTGGGTGGCCAGGCCTGAGCAAAAGGCTGCTCCTGGCCTTTCATTCTGAAGCCCTTGTCCCCAAGGACCACCTTGTAGGTGGTGGACGGTGGGCCGACCCACAGCAGTATCTGCCTTCCTCTCTGGTGCACTGTAACCCATTTCCAGATTGTGTTTATTTTCAGTCATGCCAGCAGATGGGCGCCCCAGGGCGGGTGGCCTCACTGAGGCAGAAGGGGTCCCTGGAGACGGCTCTGGCATAGAACCTGCCCCCCGGGCCCGGGAGGATGGGTGAAAAGCAGGCCTGTAGGGGCAGAGCTGGGGTCGTGGAGAAAGCCATTGTGTTGGCACCTCCTTCCAGCGGCTCTGGGGGCTCGGAGGACCCTGAGAGGCTTCTCCCATCTGCCTGAGCACGTCCACAAGCATGTGCACTTACTCCGCGTTCCTTTCAAGCACCCCACGTCTGCGGGGCCGGGGGGGGGCATGCCCGCAGTATGAGCCTGCCCCAGGACATCCCGGGCAGGCCCCGGGTGGTTTGTGTTCTGATTCTTAAAGCACCAGTTTGCCACCCCACCCCCAACACCTGGGGAGGTTCTGCTCCCACCTCTGGCCCCAGCACCCTCCCCACGACCAGCTGTGGCCCTCGGCCCACCGTACTGGCAGCTCTGTCCATGGCTTTTCAGGCTGTGGTTCCCATGTGGGCCAGGGCATTGGCCTCACGGGCCACCCAGGGGTGCTGTGATCCCAGCTGCTGCTCCTTGCTCCGCAGCCGTGAGGAGGCAGTCCCTGGGACCAGGATCAGGTGCTAGGAGGTGCACATCTGTTGCCCCTCCGCTGGCTCCCTACCGTTTGCACAGGTTGGTTCCTGTTGGTGGCCCGGGGGACCTAGAGAAGGCCCTGCTGGGGCCGTATTGGAAGGTTAAGAGCACACCTCAGCGTTGCTGGGCCTAGAGAAAGCCAATGGGACCAGAACAGGGCCACTCGGGATGCCGCCCTGTCTCTCCATGTGCCCTCCCATGCCCAGGCAGGCCACCGTGGCACTTGGCGGCTGAGATCCTGGAACCCCAGGCTCGGGTTTGCTCCCCACCCTCGTTGGGTAGTGGCCCCCACACTCCTGGCCTGCACGCTGGCGTAGGCCCAGCTGGCCAGCACGGCTGCAGGAAGACTCTCCCTACTCAGAGCCTCGGGCCCACCCCTACAGGTTGGGTCTCAGAGGCCCTGTGCCCAAGCCTGCTTTCCTGGGCAGATGGCGCCTTGTGCCAGACTGTGGCCCTGCAGACCCTGCTCCTGCCTCCCCCAGACAATCCCCATCAGCTGGGCCAGGCAGCCTTCCCTCATCCCCCACCTCTGCTTCTCCCTGGGCCAGCCAACCCGGGCCCCCTCCCCACTACTGTGCACACAGGACTCTGACCCTGGGCCATGTCCAGGGCACTGGGGCAGGTTCCGTGCCAGAGTCTGGGGCTGCCCAGAAGGCCTGGTGCTGGCCAGGTGGGCACATAACAAGATCCTCGCTGGAGAGACACAGGTCACTCACCCACCTGCTTGCCAGGAGGGATTGTGCTGTACCGTTCTGTCTTTGTAATATAAATACAGATTTTTATACCTCTCCCCTGTGGCTTCTGGTTCTTTCCATCACTACGATCGACTCTCCCCTCACCCCTGTGGGGAGCCTCTCCTCGCCCTCTCCGCCCTGCCTGAGGCCTTGGCTGTCTGGGCACCTGTTGGCCCACGGTCCTCCCGCTCCTGCTGGCTGGCACCACTGAGACCCCCCACCACAGCTGCCTCCTTGGACAGTCGCAGCTGGACCTGAATGCAGGTGGAGGTTGAGGTGGAAATGCCCGCCCCACACGCCTTTGACAGCCAGGCGCTCTAGTGGCAGGCGTCTCAGCTTCGCTTCTGGCTCTGTGGCTGGGCGCTGCCTGCCGAGGGCCACTCAGCCCTGGAGGTTCTCCCTGCTGCCCAGGTATCCTGGGCACGTGCCCTTGGCCTGCCTCCGCAGGCCATTCTGTACGGCCACTGCTGGCCCTCTGGGACGCACCTGAGAAACACTCCTCAGGCCTGTCCTCAGAATCCCCAGCACGTCTGAGACACGGCCTGTCTCCCTCCCTTGGGGCCTGCGGTGCCGAGAGGGGGCATGAGAGGGTATGCCCCCGACTCCTGCAGAGGACAATGGTGGGGGGGTGGGAATGCCTGCCTGGAGTGATGGAGAGTCGGGCAGTCCAAATGGGCTGCCAACCCAAACTGGAGGTGGCTCGAGGAGACCCACAGGTGGTTTTGGGGTATCCTTGGGGGGATCTAAGTTCCTTCCCCACAGCAGCAGTACTCTGGCCTCTGGAACCAGTGTGGGTCCCCCGTGGGTACCCTTAGAAAATGTGGGACTTCCTACTGGATGATGCAGCTAGGATCCAATGTAAAGGGGGACATCTGATGCCAAACGTCAGTGACTTAAATCGCCACCACATTTTACTGAGGGCAGGAGGGCTCGGAGCTGCACTCGGCACTTCGCCAACATCGGCACAGATTCCATCTCCACGTTTCAGGCCTGGGTCCCAGCACGTGCCCCCAAGAGGGACACTGACCCTGTCTTCCTGGTGCCAGAGTGACCCTGGTGGTGGCGTTGCCCCATCACCTCCAGGAATAAGCCAGGTGCCTGCTTCCTCCCCATCTGCTCCTATGCCTTCAGCGGAGCCCACCCCTCCTCTGCTTCCCTGCCCCTCTGCTGCTGCCACCCCTCTGCTGGGAGTCAGGCCCTGAGCTGCCCAGGCTTCTTTCCATCACACTTTTGCTGGGCTGATGGCTGCCCGAATTGGGTGCTGGGCTAATCAGAGAGAGGCCCCTTCTTATGCTGTTTCTTTCATTCCCGGTCTTGAGCCAGGCCAGGTCCCCGGGCACACTGGCCCTATGGGGTCTTCCCAGAATGTCAGTGGGATTAGGCCACTTGCCTCTCTGGCTCGTGGTGGCTGGCCCTTAGCTCCTCCTACCTCCTCGCCTTCTGTCCCCTCGACCTGTCCTCAGGCTCTTTATGAGACCACATGCCCCCTCCCTGGTCCCACTGCTGCCCCCTTACTCCCACAGCTGTCCTGCTCCCACCCCCCACCCCCCTTGGCCCTGTCTACGCCAGCCCATCTTGGTGAGCTCCAAGTTTGAGGACTGAGGTCTCACCTTCATCACCTGAATGTCAAAGTGATAGAAGACAAACTCCTCTCCCACCCTCCGCAGTGTAAGCAGATCTGCTTTATTTCACAAGGGAAGGAGGAAAAGGAAGAAGTGCTACTTCCAGCTGGGCACCCTCTGGCCGGGAGGCCCAGGGTTCTGCACTCAGGGCTGCTCTCTGTCCCTCTGCCCCAGGTCCCCTGAGCCAGCTCCCTCCTCTTCCCCAATGCAGCGGAGCCCCCCTACTCCTGTCTCCAGCTGCCTTTCCTCACTTTTGGTGAAGACAGCTTGTCCTGGAAGTCAGTGTAATGTATCTGTTTTCCTCAATTCCAGGGGCAGCCTTAAGTGCAGCAATACCCCAATAAGTATGCAAAGGAAACTTTTCAAGTCTGTACAGTTGAACTTACTGTGTTTGTCATTTGTGTGTGTGGGGGGGGGGTGGGGCTAACACCATTGATTTTTACTTTATATTTTATGTTTTTTTTGGCCCCACTAACATCTCCAATAACATGGTTCAAACAATTAACCGTGGTCAGAAACTCAAAATCACATGGAGAATTTGTGGGTGCAGGAAATGACCCAGGAGTCACTAGGAAGAGTGGGCTTCTAGAACCACCTCATGTGCTTGTGGGCTCACCCTCCTCTCCCCTGGGGACTTTTCTATAAAGTAGCCCCTTTTCTTCCTGTCATTGTATCTCCTCTCAGTCTATAAAGATCCCCAAGTTCCTCCCATCTTAAAACCAAACCAAACCCAAATCCTCCCCCCAGCTCTGCATTCCCACCCCCTCATCTCATGTCCTTCTGCCCCTTCTCTCTGTTCTTCAATTTTTGCCTCCTCAGCAAAATTTCTTGAAGGCACTGCCTGCACAGCCTTCACTTCCTCCCTACAAGCCAAGGGAGCTCCAATCTCCTGCCCCCCACCCCCACTCCCCCACCCCCACTCCCCCCGCCCCCATCCCTCTCCTCCTGGGCCAGCGGCTCTAATTTAGCTTCGGAAGCTCACTTGCAGGACCCCTGATTTCAGGCAGGGCACCGCCCAGTGACCCCTCTCCGTGTTTGTTTTTCAGATTATTTCAGGCTTTGTCTTTTTAGGATAAAAAGTAAAACAAATGAATTAACAAAGTATTTTCAACTCAAGACTTGTGTATCTGCCTTAGAACAGCTTCCCCCTCCCTCCTGAAACATATTAAGAAAAACTATGCAGAAAAACTTGTGCCCTTCCAATGTCACACTGGGCAAGGACGTTGTCTAACCAGCCACCTTAACCATTTGATGCTGGGGGTGTGGCGATAACCCTTGATCTTTAGTTGATTGGGAAGTGAAAAGACTTTGGTCTGGTAGAGATGTAAATGAGTTCCGTTCAGCACAAATGAGAATCCCAAAGGTCTGGGTACATTGGAGGGGGCATCAACCAGGTTTTCACAGAACTTTGCAACTTGTTTCAGGGCGTTCTTTCTTTCATTGCCTACACACGCTTGCTTCTGGCATCCTCTAGAAACAGTGTTGCATATTGAGTTTACAATGCCTTGGAAAGTTATGTTTTGAAAATGGGATTGTGGAGGACATCGGCTTTCGCTTAGTGGTTAGTCGAGGACTGACCCTCAAACTGCTGTAGTGAAAGTGTTCATGGTAAGAGATTGTAAAGCCAGTAATAAAACAGGAGACCACCAAGCAGTGCTCCGATTGCTTTAGACTCACGATCTGCTCACTGCCTCGCGCTCCCCCAGGAAGTGCGCCTTCAGCACCACGAGGACCTGACCCGGGGGCTGAGTCAGGGCTGCGGGGTCACGTAGCGAGCCAAAGGGCTGGCTAGGTCCGCACGCCTGACAGCTGAGCCGTCCTCTAAGAGCCTGTCGCTAGGGTGCGGGGGTTTGGGTGCGAAAGTGCAGGGAGCAAATTGAACAGAAGAGTCCCTGGTCCAGAAAAGGCGCAAGTCGACGGGGTGCAGGACTCCAGGCCGACCCGGGAGCGAGAAGTCAAACTTCCACCAGACCACTTCTTCCACCCAAGCGCGCTTAGGCCTCGCCCCTGCCTCGGCCTCGGCCCCGCCCCTATAGCAGAAAGCCAATCAGTTCTCGCCCTGCAAGTCGTCGCCCGCCCCTGCGGCCAAGCACCTACAGTCGCATTGTAGCCCCGACTGGGCCCTCTGCGCACGCGCGATGACGCACACCCGTGAGGCAGTGCGCGGCGCGGAGCGAAAGGCGCGGAGCGCGACGACCGCGACCGCTGAGGGAGCGGGAGCCGGAGTCCCATGCTGAGGTGAGTCCCGCCGGCTGTTCTGGGTGGCGCAGGGCTGTAGGAGCGGCGGCAACCCCCCGCTGCCCCCTATTTCTTCCGGGCACCCTTGGGGACTCCTTTCAGCAGCGCGAGGAGCCCCCGCAAGGCTCAGTCGGAGTCCGCGGGTCCCGAAGCCGGGACCTGGGGCCCGGCCGGCCGGCGCGGGGCCCCACTGGCCCCGAGGCGCGGTAGGGACCCGGGCGGACGCGCGGGGCTTCGCAGAGCCAGTGCTTCTGCTGACGGCGCCGAGCGGTTTGTTTTCGCGCGAGTCGGCGGTGTCTGTGGGCGCGTCCTGTGAGCATGCGCACTTGCCGTGAGCGATGACACACCCGGAGGTCTCCGGTCGGTCCGCGCGGCCGCCGCCGCGGGCCCCCAGGGGGTGTTCCGCTTAGTGACGGCCCGGTCCCGATCGTCGTGGGCCGCCAGGCCGGTCCGCCCGCGCCAGGAGGGTCTCGAGTGGACGGCGGGTGGTCAGCGCGCGTCCGCAGCCGCCCCGGCTCCGGGGAAGCTGGGTCTCCCCCTGGGGAGGCAGGCGCCCCGTGCCGTTCGCGCCGCTGCTGCTCCCCGTGTCCGCGAAGCGCTCCGCGCCGGCCGCCCCCCGGCCTGACGCCTGTGTTCTCCCCGCCCAGGAGAGGTCGTAGCGGGCGCTAAAAAGGCGGCCCTCCTTGCGGACGTGGCATTGTGCGTGCGGCGCTGCGCCCGGGACGTTGCGGAACTCGGGCGCTCGACCATGAGTTGTGGGGAGGACTTCGTGGAGACGCTGCGGAGAATCGGCTACCCCAGGGCCGAGTCGCTCCACGGGGCCGACTTCGACTGGCTGTTCGAGGCCGGCGGCGCCGAGCCGTTCCTGCGCTGGTTCTGCGGGAGCGTGAGCGAGCGGAACGTGCTGTCGGAGGAGGAGGTGCAGGCCTTCGGCCGCCTCCGCGGGGCGGGCCGGCCGGTCCTGGAGGGCGCCGCGCTGGAGGAGGCGCTGCGCACCTGCGCCGCCCCGCTGGCAAGGGAGCCGGCGCCCGGCGGCACGGAGGTGGAGGCGCTGGAGCGCGAACTCCGCGCCCTTCGGGACCTGCGGAGCCTGCGGGTGCGGCGGCGTGACCAGCGGCGGCTGCTGGCGGCAGCGACCAGGCAGCGGGCTCTGCGGTTGAGCGCCGCGGAGGAGTTGGCCGCCGAGCCGCTCAGGCGGGGGCGGGCAGCTCTGCGCGCTGCGAGCGGGGAGGTGAAGGGCACACTGTGCGCCGCTGCGGATGTGGTCGACCAGCTGATGCGGTTCTTCGGGGCGCCGCCTAACGCGGCGGCTGCGGGGGCGAGCCCTCCAGTGTTTCTGTACCGGTGCCCCTCGGAGCAGTACCTGAGCCAGGAGGAGAGGAGCACCGCGGCGCTGGCCTGCTACACCAGAACCCAGTTTTTCCAGGGTGTGCACGCAGTCGTGGAGAGCTCCAGCGAGGAGCATTTCCAGCTTGTGGACCTGCAGGCGCCGGCTTTGTGCGGCAGCCCGGAGGACGCGCAGGGGAGGCGGCTGGAGATGGCGCGCCTGCAGCTGGCGTTCATCTGCGCGCAGCACCAGGCCGTCCACCTGCGGGCCGGTAATCTGAGCCTGAAGGCGAGGATCGAGTGGGCGGAGGAGACCCTTCGCAGCCTCGCCACCCAGGTGAGTGTGTGGTGTGGGCGGGGCGGATGCACCGCGTCTCTGCGGTCAGTGCTTGGTCGGCCGTGTGTCCGCGTTTCCCGTGGGCCCCGCCGCCTTGCTTCACTGATTTGAAATGAAAGTGTGTCTGTGTCCGGACGTCGGATTCCGTTTGGGTCAGTTGGGACACAGACGGGGGAGCGTCCTGCCTGAGTAGCGAGCCCAAGTGCGGGGCTGTGTCTTCCCCCCTGTGCGCTCTGCGAGGTCCGATACAGTGTGAAATGTAATCACTTTCTTTGTGTAGGCTCTTGGAAAAGAGAATTTGGAGGGGCGGGGTCCAAGGGGAGAGTGGGTGCACGTGCTGCAGACGCCCGCGTGCTGCTTGGGGTACCTTCTAGACAGTGCGACCACCAGCTGAGTGAAAGCACCAATTTAATTACAACTGAGGGACTTCGGTATAACGTGTGAAATCCTGTCATCCTCTAGAATGCCAAAAACAGCTGACGGAATGGGCAGGACAGCTATTGAGATTATTTTAATTTTGAAACCAAAATTAAATAGCGTGTATTTGCAGTCATTGAGTAGTGTGCTAATAATTTTTATTGATTGGGACAAGTATGACAAGGTCTTTATGTTTGGTAGCCAGGACATGTGTGGCACTAACAGTGGTAAATTCTAGCAATTCATGTTAGTTTTACCCTTGACTTGGTCCATACTTTCCCGTGACTTTGGCTTTTGCTAATAGGAAGTTACTTTTTTTATTATTGAGCATGTTATCTATTAACCTAAAATGGAAAGTGAAACTAATTTTAAAACTTTGAACTTCATAGATATAGTGTGAAATGTAATCACTTTCTTTGTGTAGGCTCTTGGAAAAGAGAATTTGGAGGCTAAAATTTCTAGCTTGAACACTGGTATTCTGAAACTCGAAGAACAAATTACTCACATAAAAGAAAACACCTTGCCTGCTGTGATAAAAGAGAATGCCCAGTTATTGAATATGCCAGTTGTAAAGGGAGATTTTGATCTGCAGATTGCCAAGCAGGACTATTATACAGCAAGCCAAGAGTTAGTTTTAAATCAGCTGATAAAGCAAAAGGCATCATTTGAACTTCTACAGTTATCATATGAAATTGAGTTGAGAAAGCATCGGGATATACATCGGCAACTCGAAAATCTGGTTCAAGAACTTAGTCAAAGTAATTGGATACTCCACCAGCGATTAGAAATGCTAGCTGAGCTATCAATGTCTCAGCAGAGAAATCCAAAGAATACCATTGATACCAAGGATTATTCTACTCACAGGTACGCTTCATTGTTTCAGTACTGAGTAATTGTTTTTCCTTTTGTAGAATACTAGAGAGAGTTTGAACTGAAATTGGGCAAGGTTAAAAAATTCTTTGCACTCCATTTTTGACCTTTTTATTCTCCAACTTTTATGTGCTCCCCCCCTTTATTTTTTTTCCTTCCCTTTACCATTTATGTTAAATGTGGAAGTAGCTTCTGTAGAGCTGAGAGTATTGGATTGGAGGCATGAATATGTACCAGATCTTACTCACCTTTAACACCATTATTTAGATGTCTTATTTTAAATTTAGGGCAGGAGTTTAACTACGTTGGGAAGTTTGAATGCAGGTTAGTGTAGGGTTGATACTACTTCTGGAGAAGGTGGCAGTAGAGGGAAGACTTCAATTCTGTGTCTAGTCAAGTGAGTCAGCGAGAATGAAAGCCTGCTCCCTACCTTTTCTGGATGGTCTTAAGCAATTTGATGGTGGGGGATCCTGAAATTGGAGGGCTAAAGTAGTCAAAGGCCTCACAAATCTGGATCCTGCTCCTGATTTTTTTCTAGGGCCAGAGAACAATCATCTGATCCTTTGTTAAGTGAAATGAGACATAGATACGTCTGCTGTTACTGTTTATGTTGCTCTGTATTGTTCCCTTTTTACACATCTTACATCATTTACATTTTCAAATTACCTCTTTTAAATGAACAACAATCCTTTAACATAGGTAGTAAGTATAATGTGAAAATTAAGTCTCAGGTTGACTTGACCTAGGTCTCATATAACAGCCAGAACCTAGTTGTATTCTGTGAAAGAAGTGTTTTCCTAGAGGTGTCTCTGAAATATGCTTTGTTTGAAGTAGGTTAATGGCAGGTAAAGTAAAAAAGAATTTTATTTTTTATATAGGAAAACTGGGGGTTCTGATACAATAATGTGAATATATATTTCTCTAGGAAGAGTATTTATGTTGTAGTGTGTTTAGTTACTTGTCTTAACGGCCGGCAGAATAATATTTTTAAGTTGTTAGCTATCCACAAAGATGCCCCAATACAGTGGATTATAATTTTGAAAATGGCTGATTTGAGGATTATTTCCCTCTAATTTTTATTTTCACATTTTAGGCTTTATCAACTTTTAGAAGGAGAGAATAAGAGAAAGGAATTGTTTATAACCCATAGAAACCTGGAAGAAGTGGCTGAGAAATTAAAACAAGATGTTTCTTTAGTACAAGATCAATTGGCAATATCTGCTCAAGAACGTTCTTTCTCTCTGTCCAAACTGAACAGTGATGCGGACTTGCTTTGTGATATTTTGTATCAAGGAAGAAACCAGCTGTTGCTTAGTGATCAGGTGGGTGCATGCCACCGTGAAAAATCCATCCTTTTGTTCACATATAAATATACTTCTCAGACAGTTTTGATAGTGTACACAAAGTTTTCAAAGTTTATAAAGTATTTCAGACATACAAGAAAATGTAATGGTAGTGCTAAGAATTTTTTTAAATAATACAACCACCCTTACATATATATTTTTAACCTATCTTAGCAAAAAGAGTATTGGCATTATATTGTTAAAATACTGTGTACACTTAGTGGTAGCATGCTCCTCCTAAGAGCATTCCCCTCCCTTCAAGGAGTAACTGCTATGCTCAGTTTTATCGTTTTCTTGCCTTTGTTTGTAGTTTTATTCCACTTGCATATTCCTAGACTATATATTGTTTGTTTTGTCTATTTTTGAGCTTTATATACATATTATTACTTTTGTATGTGCTATTCAGTAACCTGTTTGTTTTTTAATGGTATTCACCCATGTAGATATGTACAAAGCTGTAGCTCATTTATACTTTTTTATATATTTCATATTCCATTGTGTGATACTCCATGATTTAATTACCTGTTTTGTTGACATTTGTGTTATTTCCAGTTTTTGCTATTGTAGATCACACTGCTAGGGACAGTCCTGTTGCATGTCTCATAGTTGTACATTCATGTGTACGTACACATACACACTCATTCTTACTCTCACTCAGAAAGGGCATTGCTGGATCACAAGTTCAGTTTCACAGCATTTATCAGGTCGTTTCCCAGAGTAGTTGAGCCGCACTGCACCAGCAGTGCCTAAGAGATGCTGTTTGTCCATGACCTTTTCATCACATAGTGTCGTCTGGTTTAACACTTCTCTCAACCTGTGCTTCCAAAATAGCGTCCCACTGGTGGTGTAATGTGCATTTCCCTGATTAAAAGGGAGGTTGTACTGCCTTTCACTTGTTTACTGGCCATTCATCTTTTTCTGAAAATTACTTGTTCATCTCCTTTGCCTGTTTTTTAGGTCCCTTAAAAAAATCATTTGTAGGAGATACTAATCTATTTTAAATGCCAGTCCTTTGTTATTTATATGTCTCTATATATTTTTCACTCCCTATTTGTGGCTTGTCTTTTGTCTTTTTACCATTCTTTAGTTCCTGGCTTCTCCTAGGATTTTATTATCATTGTTGTTATTTTTTAAGATTTTATTTATTTATTTTTGGAGAGTGAGGAAAGAGAGGAAGAGAAATACCAATTTGTGGTTGGCTCTCTCACTCCCCCAACTGGGGACCTGCCCTGGCCCCAGATTCAGGCATGTTCCCTGAGTGGGAATCAAACCAGTGACCCTTTGGTTCTCAGGCCAGCTCTCAGTCCGCTGAGCCACACCAGCCAGGGCAGAAAGCTTTTGTTTGATTTTTAAAATACTTTGCCTTTTACATTTTTTTCCTATTGGAGAGTTGATGTGAATAACTAGCCTACCTTTCCTTGAAACAGGAAGGCTTGTGAGTAGTTTTTTGTTAATGATTTTTAAAATTCTGGCAAGTAAACATTTTTTCATTTTTAATTTATTTATGGTAAAACATACAGAATATAAAAATTACAACTTTAGCCATTTTTAAGTGTACATTTCAGTGGTGTTAAGTACTTTCACAGGGTTGTGCAACCGTGACCGCTACGTATACATTTCCATAACTTTTCCACCTCCTTCAATCCCCACTCCTCCTCCTTCCCAGCCCTGGTAACCTGTGTTCCACTTTTCTGTCTCTGGATTTGTTCACTCTAGATACTTCATTAAATGGAGTTACAGAATATTTATTCTTTTGTGTTTGGCTAGTCTCAGCATAATGTCTGTAAGTTTCATCCATATGGGAAAAATGCTGCTGTGGACATTGGTGCACAAGTGTCTGAGCCCCTATTTTCATTTCTTTTGGGAAATACCTACGAGTGGAATTGCTGGGTCCTATAGAAATTCCATGTTTAACTCTTTCCAGAAACTGTCTGACTTTTCCATAGCTGCTGCACCTTTTTATAGTCCCACCAGCAATGCACAAAGGTTCCAGGTTTTCCCTATCCTTGCATACAGTTTTATTTTCCTTTTCAAAAAATATCTAGTAGCCATCTAGATAGGTGTGATATGGTAGCTGTGATTAGTTTTTTAAAACTTATGTTACTGATTTTTGTCTTGATCCAGTAGATAATTGTTTTATAAAATTCTGTGAATGCATGAATATCATTTATATTACTTTCATGTAAATTACATTTAAGATTTGTAATTGGTGTTACAAATAGAGATCTTGCATTAAAAGCAATTTTTATTTTTTTTAGGAGTTAACAGAGCAATTTCATCAAGTTGAGTCTCAACTGAATAAGTTAAATCATCTTCTTAGTGATATTCTTGCTGATGTGAAGACAAAAAGAAAAATTTTGGCATCTAATAAACTGCATCAAGTGGAGAGAGAATTATATGTATATTTTTTAAAAGATGAAGATTATCTGAAAAATATCGTTGAGAATTTAGAAAACAAATCAAAGGTTAAGGCTGTTGGTCTCAAAGATTGAAAATTACTAAAAGCTACATCTTTACTACGTATGTTTAATGTTTTACATATTAGGAGGAGAGTATAGCTAATAAACCCTACTAAAGTATTAAACTTGAGGTCAGTGGAATATTTAATGAGTTCAAGATTCACATCAGTTTGTTTTCTTCTTTGTATAACATCTATGTTCAGAGTACCAGTGCTTTATGTGACTTGAACATTTGCTTGTTGGCACTTGGTCCTGGTAACTTTTTACATAAAGGGAAAAAGTATTACAGTAGCGGCCCCCTTATCTCCAGGTTTGCTTTCTGCTATTTCATTTACCTGCAGTCAGCCATGGTCTGAAAAGATTAAACGGATAATTCCAGAAATAAACAACTTACAAGTCCTAAATTGTGCGCCATTCTGGATAATGTAATGAAAGCTAACGCCAGCCTGCTCCATCCGGTCCTGGACGTAAATCATCTTTTTACCCAGCGTCTTCACACTGTGTGCTGCCTGCTCGTCATTCACTTAGTAGCTGTCCTGGTGCGTGTGTCCAAGTCACCCCTAATTTACTTAACTATGGCCCCAAAGTGCAAGACCACTGATGCTGGTCACCTGGATGTGATGAAGAGAAGCGGTGATGTTCTTCAAGTGAAAATGCGTGTATAGGGTTCTCTCTGGTTTTGGGCATCCACTGGGGTCTAAGAATAAATTCCCTGTGGATTGGGGGGGGTGGGTTCTACTGTATTATAGAATGCAAATATTGTTTATTAGACTTGTACCTTTACTAATTTCTTTTTTTTTTAAATAGAAATTTTTTGTTAAGTATTTTGAAATTTTGTAGTCTTTTGAATCAACGCTGTTGAAGCTGTAGACTTTATTATGTGGAATAGCCACATCTAGACTGTAAAATAAAATTCTGCTACTCTGTGTCCTTGTAATTTTCTTTTGTAGACTTTGAGACTCATAATGTTCTTACACCACAACTAATATCAAGTCTCCGTATGCCATTGTTCATTTTACAGGCTGGGTCTGAGGTCTTCCATTTTTCGTAAGACATTTCAGCAGTTATTTGATTTCAGTGTGACTTACACATGAATAACTTTCAAATGAAATTTCAGAATTCCTGAAGTGGTTGCTCAAGGGTTGCATAATGCTGTTTTAATCAGTTTCTTTGGTGTGAAAATACTTAAGTGTTGACTATAGTAGCTGGGATATAAGTATAGTATTTGGACAGTTAGAAATCTTTGTTTTAAAATACAACAAGCATTCTTCTATTTTTTAAAAGATTTTATTTCTAGAGAGAGGAAGGCAGGGAGAAAGAGGGAGAGAAACATCAGTGTGTGGTTGCCTTTCACACACACCTTACTGGGAACCTAGACCACAACCCAGGCATGTGCCCTGAGCGGGAAGCAAATCAGCAACCCTTTGGTTTGCAGGCTGGTGTTGAGTCCACTGAGCCACACCAGCTGGGGCATAGAAATCATTTTAAGAGTTGGTATAAAAAAACTCGAAGTAGCATATATCAATTACTTCATTAAATGCTGCTTCATTGCCCGATTTATACATAGCCTGTATTATATACCATGTAAGCTTTACAGAGAAAAGATACAGCAAGAATATTCTTGCTCCAAGAGTATATTACCCACCCTTCATACTTAAAAACTATATTATAGGTGATCTTTATGGAATTTTTCAACTATGACTATCAAAATGGGTATGTGTAGGTGACAGATGAGCGCTGATAATTTTTTTAATCCATTGAGCGAAAATGTTTTGCCAATTAGTATTTGTACATTATTTAAAAATTATGAAGTCTTAAAATTTTGTAGCAAAGATTTTGTCTTGCCAAGCCCATATAGTGCAATGGGTTGAGCCCAGGCCTGCAAACCAAAAGGTTGCTGATTACCAGTTAGGGCACATGCCTGAGTGCAGGCTAGGTTCCCAGTTGGGGGTGTGCAAAAATCAACTAATCGATGATTCTCTCTCAAGAAAAAAAATCTTTAAAAGAACTTTGTCTAAGTTCTCTTATTAGTTCCTCAGGTAGTTTTTTGTTTCTTTTTCCTCTATTATGCTACCTTGCAATAAAGAAATTTAAAATTTTATTAATGTGGGAAAGTGTCACCTGGTTTCTTGCCTAAGAAAGAGCAAATTCTGTTTAGTGTCAAATGTGTTAGATTTTTGACCAACTACTTGATGCTTTGTACTGTTTCTTCCAGACCTTCACCTGCTCAGCCTCAGGGCCAGTACCACTGAGCAGTGTCAGGGAAAGAATGTTAGCTTGTGTCCTTATGCAAGTCAGTTCAAAATAGTTTTGTTAGTAAATTTGTGTATTTGAAGATTATAACAGCTGTTTCAAACCTCAGGTAGTATTTGAGTAGATCACTTGCTTCAAAATTGGGTAACTAAAAAATGTTTTTTACTTTGTTACTTATTTATCATAATACCCCAGATGAGCCTCTAATCATTGCCTTCTTCTTGCTCTACAGTATGTTACAGGGAAGACTTACTTCTTGTGGTTGTTAATATAGTAATTTTTATGAAAGTCTCAGTACACAGAAAATTTCAAATTGTGTCTTATTTTGAAGTCTCAAAATTAATATATAGGTATTATGTTTATCTTGTATTTAGGATTTTATGAAAATGGAAAATTACCAGGCATTTGTAGGCTTCGATCTGTGTAAGATACCACTCTCCAGTGTTGCTCAGAAGATTATGTCTGCTATGCATTCAGGCAGTTCAGTGGAGTCTGTGAATTGGAGAGAGAATGAAAAGAGTGAGTAATATTTATGAACCTTTAATTACTTTGATGTTAAGAATTCTTAAGACTAAGGTTTGAAAATGAACTGCAGCAAAATTATTCTGTAGCATTTAGGTTGTGTGTTGAAGCCCCTGCCTACAGACAGCCCAGCTTCCCTCACTCACTCTCATGAGTGGTAGCTGAGTATCTGCTCCCTAAACTTACACATGCTCGTGGCCTTAGTTGCTTTTAAAATGTGTGACATTCCCTCGTTCTAGGCATTTCTACCAGACATTCCTTTAGAATCCAATTAGCCGTTTAACCTTGAAAGAGAGGGCCTCCTCTACCCCGCTTGCTGCTTCAGCCTTAGCTCCCATCAAACCTGTGCATGGTACAGTGGGCCCTCCGTATCCACGGGTCTCACATCTGCAGGTTCCACCAACTGCAGATCCAAATGGAAACATCCCAGAAAGTTCTGGATAAAAGCAGAACATGACTTTGCCATGCACCCAGCACTGTGCTGAGTCCACATAAAGGAAGTGATGTGTAGGCCTGCCCTGCTGTCGTCTTTGTGCCAGTATGGCGTTCATGTAAGTACTGCGCCGTTCTCTGTAAGGAACTTGAGCGTCTGCGGATCTTGGTAGTCCTGGGGGTCCTGGAACTGATGGCCCACAGACACTGAAGATGACTGTATCTGCCTGTTGTGTGTGGTGGCCTGGGGACGTGTCTTCGATCATACATAATTTATAGTGCAGAGAAATGCATCACCTCCCCCGGGGCAAACATCATTGCACCCAGTGTGCATGTGCTTGTGGTGTGAGGTGCTCACAAGTGGACTGAATTGTTCTGAACTCCTTTTTAAAAAAAACTACTACTATCAAAGTAGTTTTTACTTTAAATTTGTAAGTCAGGGCCAATAATCTGTTTCTTTTTCCAGAGTAAGTTGTAGGGAGTGAGATAGAATTAATTACAATGAGATGAAATAATCGAGAGTTGACAGTGCAGGTGCTGTTATAAATGCAGTGTCTTCACCAGGGTGTGATGGCCCTTAACGTCTCGGCCTGTTCACACCCAGGCATCTGCTCCTTGTGTGTCTCAGAGAAGTCACTAATAAATGAGCTGGTGAGAATCTTGGGGTGTGGACTGCGTACTTAGTGCGTTAGGGGAAATGACACTGGTGGGGGGAATAGTAAAGAAAAGTGAAAATCTAAATGTCAAAGAGCTTTCTCTCGTGTTCTGTGTGCTTTCTAAAATAAAAGCAGTATTCACTTGACCGGTGGGGATGTACTTCCCTTAAATAATCATGATAATGAAATGCCTTTGGTGGCTCTGTTGTGTCTGTTGAGAAAAATTTCTGGCACTCAGCCCATCTCATGACCTCTTATCATGTTCTTAAAAGACCCTGTGAAAACCCTAAATTTATGGAGAAGATAATGTAAAAAGATGAGGTTTTATTTTTTGTCAGGTATTTTGGATTTGGAAAAATCATGGATTTTCACAAGGCTTCTGTATTCTCTATTACATTAACAACATCACTGCAAACTTAGTGACTTAAGACAATAGTTGTCTCTGTTTCTGTGGCTCAGGAATCTGGGCCAAGCTGAATGGGGCCTCTGCTGGGCTACAGAGCGGGTGCAGCCAGAGCCGGAGCGGCATCTGAGGCTCAGATGGAGAAGCGTTCATGGGCAAGCTACCATGGTTCTTGGCAGAATTCAGTTCCTTTCCACCTCATTCTGGCTGCAGACAGCTTTTTGTCAAAGGCAGCAAGAGCATGTCCCTAGCAAGACAGCATCAAAGTGTTACATGACATCATCACAAACATCCCCTGACCATCGAGTCTTCCTGTTGTGTAGAAGTGAGTCACCCAGTCCCACCTACACTTGGGGAGAAGTTTGCAAGGTGTGAGTACTAGGAGGCATGGGTCATGCGGCCACCTGAGGGTCTGCCTGCCACTGAGTCCTACCAGTTTTACTATTTCATAGGCGTTTGATTTAAAGTTGGATTGCTAGTGGGTTACTGGCGAATGATGCTGGACTCAACACCTAGTGATTCCTGGGCTCGTTATATGCTGCCCATTTCATACCAAATAAAATCAAACTTGAACTCAAATAATTGGAAATAAACTACAAATGCTTGCTTTTACAAACACTGAAGTAAAACCAGATTATTAATAGTCACTATGGGCTCTTCTCTTCGGATATGCCACACCAAACGAAGTAGCTGGAGATACATACCCAAGTAAGGACTGGACTGTATAAGCTCCTTGCAAGAGTGATCTTTTAAAATTTAAAAACCCTTTGCTGTGAAAAAAGAAAGATGCAGAAACTAAAACCACAGCTTAATGATTTATGTAAAGAGGGCATACGTGTTACTACCACCTACATTGCCAACATCTCAGAATTTCTGTCTCTCTGATAACCCCTCCCGGCTCTGCAGTGACCACTGTCCTGACTTTCTGTGGCTACCACTTCTCTCTTCCTAATCACAGGCATTTCGTATTGCTCCTCAGGCCTCCAGGGCCAAGTTTGCCACACTACCAGAGTGTCCTCCGCTTTTGTGAGGCACACAGACTACAAGGCTCAGCGTTCTTACAGTCAGGCGTGGCCAAGCGGCAGGTCCCTGTCTAAGTGTGTGTGCCATTTCCAGGGTCGGAAACATCCAGCTTGCTTCCTAGCCGCCGCCTCTTGCCTGCCTTCCAGTTGCAGCCCACAGTGCCTCCTCTGCAGCCCTGCAAATGATAGCAGTGCCCTAGAGGATTGTGGGACAGCCTGCTGGAAGGACCCTGGGTTCCAGAGTGACTCTGGGGAACAGCTGCATCACCAGCTGAGGCCACTCGCCTCAGCCTGAGGGAAATAAACGTTTTGTTCTTTCAGCCATGGTATCGTGTTGTGTCACTGGGTCTTCTGTGACTAGTAGTTTCGCTTCTTACCCTAACTCAGACGCCTTTAAACTGGATTCAGAATGGGATTTGTCTGAGCTGGATTTTCACTGTCATTTTATTGTTCAGTAATGCCACTGGACGTCTTGAGTAAATACTGGGGGAGTAGTTTTCAGGGTGATTTCAGGGGTGTCAGCTGACCTGGTACTCTGATAGGACTATTCATGTGACTGAAGCCTGTATGAGAACATACCTGTGTTTTGTCTAAGTACCTGTGGAGATCAAACACGTTTGCTAGTATACTTTTTTCCAGGTTGTTTTAACTTGATAGGGCCCAGAGATGAATATGATATTTTCCAGTAAAATAATATTTTTAACCTGTTTTAAAGATTTTATTTTATTTACTTTTAGAGAGAGGGAGAGGGAGGAGGTAGAGAGGGAGAGAACAGCAATGTGTGGTTGCCTCTTACACACCCCCTACTGGGGATCTGTTTAGCAACCCAGGCATGTGCCTTGACTGGGAATTGAACCGGTGACCCTTTGGTTCACAGGCTGGTGCTCAATCCACTGAGCCACAGCTGCCAGAGCAAAATAAAAATATTTTTACAGACATTGCAATTTAAGAGTCTGAGGCCCCTTGAAGGTAGATACTTGTTAAAATCTGATTGATTCACGTGAAATGTTTATTCCTATCTTGTGGAAATCTCTGCAGTTTTAAGGACAGATAACAAAATGGTAAAACATGTTTTGATTATATTCATTCTAATCAAGAGTGTATGGATAAACACATTATTTTCATTTCTGCCCAATAACAGAGAGCTCTTGTGTCTGACCACAGCAAACCGGGCCAGGCGTTGGGTCTCAGTGCGCTGCCCTCCTGCAGGGCTGCCTTCTCTCCCCCTTGGGTTTGCAGTCGCTTCCTAATGGCTGTTTGCCTTCAGTTTATTGTCAGTTTGGTCTGGTCTTTGCCGGACTTAGCTGAGCTCCTGTCCTTGCTAGTTGCAAGCTTTATCTGCACGAACGGCCTGGACCTGCCTGCCCTTTATACTCTGACGTTGCCCCGTTCAGATGTGACTGTAACGTCCAAACCTGTGGCATTTCCCAGCTTTCTACTTCCCCTTCTTTTTTCATCCTCCACTCACAGTGGAGTGCAATCTGTGTTTTTCTAGGTTCTGCTTAAATACTTCTTTCATCATCACAGTGCAATGCTTCCACATTGTTTCCATCGTGCAGGAATTGGTGCATTTGATGCAGTGCCGCTCCATCTAGAGAACTCACTGTGCAGTGTTCCGGGTGCTTTAACTTGCTCTGCGCTCCAGCCCCTCCCCCGAAAGCCGAGGTGAACTTTCTGGAGCACAGCTGGATCTGGGTCCCAGGGAACCTGATCCACTCCAGCTGGTGCCGGACTTGGCCGGAGAGAGCTGCTATGGTGGTGTGGGGTTTGGTCTCCCTCCCGTAGGCTGGCACAGATGGCTTATCACAGTTGTACTTGGGACACAGGTGGCAGCAGTGCAGTTAAAATGGTCACTAGAGGAGGTTGGTCTGTACCAGTGGAAGCTGCTGCCTGGGCTGCTGGGATGGTACTGAATAGAAGATAATGTGTAAAAGTGGAGGGATGAGGTCCAGAACTCGGGGTGTTTGGGCTAGGGGTTCCCTGAACAGAAAAAGTCCCCCTGCCCAATACAGAAAGAACACCGCAAAGTCTCTACAACCTGGCTGGGGGAAGGGGAGGTGGACCAGGGCAGTGGGGTCCTTGCACACCTAGAGCACTTGGCGGTGTGGAGTGGCCGTGCCTGCCCGCTGGATGCCAGGGAGATGAAGTGGGCATGACTCCTAACTCCTGATGGAGCCGGAGGGGCTGGCTGCGCCTACAAGGGAGACTTCGAGGTGATTTCTACGTCTTGGGGGCCTTGCTTGCCCGGACTAACAATGGCAACTGAGAAAGGCAGAGGAGACAAGACTACTGGCAGATGCAGCCCAGTGTGGGAGGAGTCAGAAGTGGGGTTATGAAGGAGGATCTGCGCCAGGATTTAAACCCAGGCACTGCGACCAGTCTGCTCCTGGCTCTGCGGGAGCTCTGGGCCAAGTGGGAGGGAGAGGAGGAGAGCCACGAGAGGCACGCTCTCACTGTCTGACCATGTAGCTTGGGAAGGAGGAGCCTCCTGACTACGGAGCAGCCATGCCATCTCTACCGTGCAGTTTGAAAGGATGCAGAAGGACCCTCTGGGCCCGCCGTGAGGGTGTGGTTCTGGGTTAAGAGCTGGAGCCTAGCTGAGCACGGAAGACTGGAAGGAGCTGGAATTCAGATGGGAATCCACCCAGCTAGGCTGCAGACTTCTGTCTCTTTTCCTGAGAGACGACACTGCCGACTGGCTTGTTTGGGGGGGGGGGGCAGGAGTGTGCGTGTGTGTTTTGTCTCTAATGGGCATGAGATTTAATGGCAGAATGCCGCCATTATTCTAAACCTGTATGACTTCTGGATAAACAGTCCTTTTCCTTTCCGTAAGACTGGCATTGGGAGTCACGGGCCCTACGGGCAGCGGACAGTAGAGCCCAGTGGCTCTGTTACAAATAGAATCGGTGGCTGCTGCAGGGAAGGAATAACTGCTCCTTTGGAAAAAGACAAAGGCTGAGAGTGATTACTTAGCAATTAAAGGCTGAATGTGAGAGCCCCAGGGCTCCCCTGGTAGCCTAAAAAGAGGCCACCTGCAGCCACAGGCCAGTACTTACAGTCCTGAGACTTGGGTGAACTCCAGAGGGTTGGATTCCTACTCAGTCCTGGCAGGTGTGCCACCTCAAGGCTGGCGCCTTGGTCTGGAAGAGGGACTGGACCCTGAGGTGTGCACTGGTGCACTCAAACCTTGATATCTCTGGCACCTGCAGGAGTGGTTGCTCCTCTGTTAAAGGCTAGTGCCCCACCCGCTCACAAGAGGCTTCTGTCTTAAGAGAGTAGACACGTACCCTCAGAAGCTGCCATCTCCTCCCTCCTGGCCGTGAAGTCTGCATAAGCCGGCGGAGAGGACCTTGGCCTGCTAAGGGGTTGTGTGAGTGCATGGGTCGGTCAGGGAACAGAAATGTACAGTAATTTGGTCAGGGGACATTTAAAGCATTTTAATTAGTAATGGGATTAGCTATGTGGAGTAAAGAGGAGTCTAGAGATTATGGTATTAGCAGACACAGGGAGCAACTCAGAGTGCGGGAGGAAGGAACGAACTTAGACTTGGCCAGTTGATGTCCACCAGCCTGTCACCTGCTGTCCCCGTTCTGGCACGTTGGGCTCTTTAAAGGAGTAGCTGCAGGCAGGGGTGGAGGCTGGGAGGGCCCAGCAGAATGGCTGACTGAATTCCCAACCTTCCTTCCCACACACACCAAACGCTGAGTCCACAGTGGTGCCATCCTGTGAGCAGAGCAGTCAGGCACTTGCTGGCAAGTTGACAGCACTGAGCCCCTCTGTCCCTAGGGATGCAGAAATGGACCTTGACTGGCATGGACACGTATTCCAGGTGTGGTTTGCAGGGCCTCCGTGACTTGTTGTCCAGGGCTTGCAGAACAGAACTTGACACAGAACCCTGCATAGCATCGTATTAGGCGTGGGGACCCACTTGACAGTAGAGGAGCTTTAGTGGGCATGGGACCGTGGGACCCACGCACTCACAGCCTCACTCCCATAAATGCCAGCCTGAGGGAGCGGCGGAGTGGCCTGCAGCAGAGGCAGTTTAGCGCCAGCCTGGGGAGGACGCCCCGCAGCGACGGACCAGGACCCTCCAGGGTGCAGTGTGCACTGCACGTCAGCGACCACCCAGGGTGGTGTCCCCCAGGTGTAAAATAGAGGGTTTGGGGACCGAAAGGTAGAAGTGGAAGTGGCCCTGCTCATCAGCACTCTGGGTTCTGCAGGTGGTCCTGACTCCCAGAGGGGTGGCCCCCCAGGGGCACAGGAAGAGCACCATTCAGTTCCCGGTTCCCACTGCCCAGTCAGTGCAAGTTCCTCATGCGAGGAGACTGGCAGGCAAGGTAGGTCATCTCCATCTTGCTCCAGTGAGCCTCCTGGTCATTGTAAGTTATGGCTGCGGTTGCATAATTGAGGCAGGAAAGCATGTACTTGGCACCAAGGTGACGTGAGTGGTCACCTCTTGGTCCCTGCCCAAATTTCACAGCACACACATCAGCCGTGGCTGAGAATGGTGTAGTGACCAGGGGCTTACATCGCTGGGGGATGAGGGTTTGGTCACTCCCTCAGTGAGCTACCAGGACCAACAGAGGTGCTCAGTCAGCATGAGGAGACCTTATGTGGGTTGTAAAGAAGGAAGACAAATATCATTTGCAACTTTGAGACCAGCTGCAGTGCCATTTTTTTTTAAGTTTTCTCCAGGCAGAAGGCCACCAGAGTCCTAAAGTAGCTGCTCCAGAATGCACTGGAAGCAGGTGGCTATGAGCAGCAGATAGTGAGCTGTAGTGCAGGACTGTAGTGAGTGCCTGATGTCCAGCCCCCCAGCTCACCCACCCGTTAGGATGGAAACCATTTATTCCCCAGGGGCTGGGAGCCTTGCTGGCGAGCTGCTCACACGCGGCCTCCTGGTTCACCTCCTCTTCAGAGAGCTGCGTGGCCCAAGGGCACACTGCTTTCCTGGGAGCAACCCATCCAGTGACCAGTGGGTGCTGGGTATAGAGGCCCCGCTCCCTAGACCCAAAGGGACTACTGTACAGGGCCACATCAGCTGCAGAACAGACCTTTGCAGTGACTGCATCGTGGTCCCGTCCTCCCCTCACTCACCTGCAGACATCAATCCTGAGAGTGCTGCCCAGTGACTGTTCTGAACACAAACCTCTGTCTCCGAGATGGCCACCAGGGCAAGAACTGTGCCATTGTGTGTGTGCAACATACTCGTGTACACGAGTGGGGAGATTTGGTCACTGATTTAAAAACGGGATTGTATTTTCACTGATTTCTGCATCTTGAAGTCAACTGATATGGCTCTAAGTCATTCTTTTCGGTGGCGACGTGCTTCACGGCGTGGACATAACATGGTTTATTCATCGACTTCCCGTTTGATTGGCATGTGCTTTGTTTTTAGTCCTTTGCCGTAAAGCAATACTGCCATAAATGTTCGATTTAAACCAGGGATGTCAAACCCATTTTCCCCAGGGGCCACATCAACCTTGTGGTTGCCTTCACAGGGCTGGATGTAATTTCAACTCAACAGTTAAGGGTAGTTAGTCCTGTATACAGTCCTAAATTATTTCAGCCCTCTGAGGGCAACTGTGAGGCTGATGTGGCCTCCAGTGAAAATGAGTTCAACACCCCTGACTTAAACCTATTTACTGTTACACAAATTTCTGTGAAACAGCCAGGAGGGAGGCGGTTTGGTTAGATGATTTATATACTTTAAATCTGATCGCTTTTATTGAGGTTCCACACACACACACATACACACACACACACACACACAGAGCACATATTTCCAAGTTTGTAGCTCAAAATCCCATAAACTGAACACCCTGCAGCCCTTTCCCAGACCAAGAAACAAAACATCAGTGGCACCCGGAGGCCCAGCTGTGCTCCCGTTGTATCGTCCCACCTCTCCCCCAGCTCCCAAAGGGGAGGCTTGTGTGTTTAATTTTAGTAAGTGTTGACAGGTTGCTTTCCAGAAAGATTCTAACTACAGCAGGACCTCAAATAATGTCATTCTGTTGTCATTCGGACAAAGTGCCATAGAAACTTAACTCTTCTCCATGACAGGCCAGGTACAGTTGGTTTTGTTACACGTCTAAAGCCACAGAACCTACTGGCAATACTAAGTGAGGACCCTCTGTCTTCATAGTTCTACCAGGAATGCACGAGATGACCTGTTACCATCCACCCCCAGTTACACTGAATTTCCATTTCCCTGACTGCTAGTGAGTATGAGCATCATTCAACGTGTATTTGCTTTTTGGAGTTGCTCTCGTGTATTGCCTCCTCTTATGTTTTGCTCATTTTTCTATTGAGTCGTCTTTTTTTTTTTTTTTTTCCTTAACAATGTGTAAGACTTGTTGTAGAATACAGGTATTAACCCTCACTCATTTTTGTCCCTGGTTATTTTCCCAGTGTAGTGTTTCCTGTTAGAAGTTGTGCTAGTTGTCCCGTCCCTGTTTCTTAACGGGAACACCGTCTTCGTTGTGTATTAAAATCTCAGAAGTCTTGGGGTCAGTTTCTGGATTGTCTCTTCTGGGAGAGCTTTTCTTCTTTTCCTATTCAAACACCATGTGGATTCGAGGACAGCAGCTTTACAGTGTGTTCTGATGATCCGGAAAGACAAGTCTTTTGCTTCTTTAAACTCTTCTTATCTGTTTTTAGATAGTGAACGTTTCATATGTATTTTGAAATTATTTTTTCAACTAAAAGAGCCCTGGGTGGTCTCTAGTGGGACCTGCACGGAGTCTGCGTTTGGGAGAGTTAAAGGTGTTGTGAGCACCCCAACGCTGCGTCTTTCCATCTGTGCAGACCTTGTATTACGCGGCTTCCCAAGACTGGAAGTTCTAGTCATTGAGTGCCTTGTACCTTTCTTGTTGAATTTATGCTCAGAGTGGCTTTTTTTCTGTCATTGAAAGGTCCCCCTGCATTTGCATTTCTTGGGTGTTATCATATCTGCAGACCATGGGCAGTCACTGTGGTCGTGAGCACACTCTCCTGGGTCGTGTTGCCTGGGGCAGAATCCAGACTTCCATCACTTATTACTCAGCCTCAGCTTGTTACAATGAAAGCAAAATTTAAATCACGAGTTTGTATTAATGATGTTCTACTGAATCTCTAATTGTTCTATGGTAATATTATTCAGCCTGAGAATTTCCTTAAACCTTTAATACTTGTAAGGTTTCTTATAAGGTTTTTCAGAGTCAAGTATTCAAATATAAATACCAGGTAGTAATCTTTAATGAACGTTTCATGATTACACAGATCTGCCTCCAGTTAATTCGAGGATACTTTGCATAAGTGTTTGTTACAATGACACTAGACATCTCGGTTGAATTATGTTGTTTTAGACAAGTAAATGGTTAAATAGCACAATTGTAGAGGCTGTTTTCAATGTTTACTAATTGTATGACTTAGATATCAGTGTTTCATTAGTGTCTCAGGTTCCTTTTTTTGTGTTTTAAAAGCTGCAGAAGTGGTGAACAAATCCAGTGTTACGCATTCAGGACCACTTCACGATGGGAGGAATCAAGCACTGGGGCAAAAGGTAAGTGCCTGCAGGGATGGAGATTCTAAACAGCCTGCGTGTGTCCAGCAAGGACTCATTCAGTGTGTGTTGTATGCCAGGCCCTGGGGACTCCATGTCAAAAGTGGGGGGAGTTATTGTTCTTCTGAGGCTGTTGGTTAAATTCATGTGGCAGGAGAGGAAGACAAAGTACAGAGGGTCTCTAGCGTGCGGCGGTGAGCTGCGTGCTGTGATGGAAGGCAGACCGAGGGCTCTGGGAACCGCAGGAGAGACGTCTCCCCAGGCCCCGCGAGGCCTCCGTTCGCCTCTTCTGGGTGATGGGGAGAGGAGTCTGGGATGTCTCTCTTTTAGTGTGAAATTTTACTTAAGTTGGGATCTAAAGGATAATTAGGAGATGGGTTACCCTGTGGAGAGTGGAGTTTGGGGGCTAAGAGAAGAGAGCTTGGAACTTTTGGGCAGTGGACATGAAGAGATGTTCATAAAGGAAAGGGTATAAAATTAGCAGTGGATCAAGTTGCATGGTTGAGGAGAGATACATGAGGTCACATCTCCAAAGACCTTATATGGGGGGATGGCCAAGAAAACTGGACTTGCCCTTTGGAGGGTGGCCCCCTGGTGATACAGCCTTCTCCTCCTGGATGAGTGTTCTGGGAACCCATCTGAATCAGTGCACCAGCTGGCATTGTTGTGAGAGGCTGTTTTCGGCTTCAGAAATGTTTTTTAAAGACTTTCAGTACATTTGCCCATTTCATGATGGTGATTTACTGGCACACCTGCCCACACTGCGCTGAGTGTTCAGCAGTTTGGGGCCAAAAACGTCATGATCCCCATGCCCCACCCTCCCCATTCACCTGATCTCATCATGAGAGACTTTTTTCCCCTGTGTGAGAAAAGTCCTCAAAGGGAAATGTTTTGCCAATATGCTGAAAATCAGCAGAAGCACTGAGACAGGCAGACATCGAAGAAAACGGTGACATCATCACGTAGCCACTGAAATCTAAACACACACTGTGCTCTGGAGGCTTGGTGTCTGTGGTCATCCCTTTAAAAAGTACTTTGGTTAGACATTCTTCAACAATCCAAATTTTCATACTTCTCTTTTCTCTACAGAATCTTTTTCTTCCATACACCTCCACAGAATTTTTAATGTGATAGAGTTTTACGCTCGAAAATCTTTTCTTGAAAACCACATAGAATTTCTCTGCAATAAAATGAGTATAAATTCAAATTTTCTGTGACCTATGACCATGTGTTAAAACACATTTTTTAAGGATTATTTAAAAGTACTGTTAGGATAGAGTTGTTCAGAACATCATTAGTGGCCCCGACTGGTGTCGCTCTGTGGTTTGGGCAGCAAACCGAAAGGTCCCGGGTTCGATTCCCAGTCAGCGCACATGCCTAGGTTTCAGGCCAGGTTCCCTGTTGGGGGCATGCGAGAAGCAACCAGTCAATGTTTCTCCCCCTCTCTCCTTCCCTTCCCATCTGTCTAAAAATAAATAAATAAAATCTTTTTAAAAACCCAACACCCTTGTATCTGAAAAATAAATATTAAAGATAACATTTTATGGTGAGTGAATCCTATCATGAAATGGATAGACGTGACCCCCCCTTGGTTAGTCCGTGATTCTGTGAGTAAATTATGCACACTGCTAGACTGACACAGAAAGCGGATTCCTGCTGAGCCGTATTTTTAAGAAGTTTAGCCTGTCTGGCAGTGGCAGCCACCCCACGACAACACGCCTGTCGCTAAGGGCCTCCCTCGTCCCTCTCCAGACGGAAGAGGAAACACGAGAAGCAGCGCCTGGTGCAGAGCCCCAGTCCCTGCCTCACGGATGCGAAGGCCCAGGATGCTACAGAATCACCACCGCCTGTAGCCCTGTGCGGACGGTGGTCTCGTAGGCTGCTGCCCGCTGTCCTCTGTCGGCCCACAGGAGGCACCACAGGTTGACGGGGGCCGCTCCTTCAGAAGGAGGCGGCACACAAAGCCCCCAAATCAAGGTGTGTGGGGAACCATCCAATAAACACACTTTGGATGCAGAAAAAACCCAAACACTTAGTAGGTAGATCGACATACCAAATGGTTGCAGTGATTTCATTTTCTCTCTAAACGGCCTCTACGTGGACGTTGTACGTTAGTCACCTCAGTCTTCCGCACATCTGCACCCGACCCCCGTGCACCGCATCTCCGTACTTGTGGGTTCCAGCGCAGGGTGTGGCTGCACACTGGGAGCTCCCGCCTGGTCCAGCCCATGGGCCTCGCGGGCGCTGCTGCCTGGGTCCAAAAGGCGACTGCCCTCGAAGGCGCTGTGTCGCTTCATCAGGAAGCTGGGTCTAGATAGTACGAGGCTGAGTTCTGCTTTATTTTAGATGACGTGCCAGAAATTCATTTGGTTTTAAGTCTCTGTCTTATCAGTCCATATGCTCATGAAATATCGCCTGGTTTTCTGTAGCGTCATAGTGCTTTCACAAGCCAGACATCAGGAGCTCCCATCAGACTCTCTCCGCGGCCCTCCACTAGCAGAGCCACGGATCCGCTGCCCACGGACCAAAAGCGGAACCTCAGCTCACCGGCTCCTGCCCGTTGTCTGATTCCACCACGTAACCAAGAGGCTTCCGTTCTGCAGGAAGTGGAACATAAAAGAAAATATTTTCTTAAAAAATATATAAGCAGTGAAAATAAAGAAAGCATGGATATGAAAAGAAAACGTATTACATGTAGTGGTTTGCCAGAGAAAACCACTAGACTTGAGGCATTGGAAGACGCTGACAAGGTGGAAGCCTCCCTAAATTCTGGGGACTCCGGAGCATTCGGAACCCATTTTTGCGATACCAGGTATTTGGATGATTTGGGGAAACGCCAGCTCATTGAAATGCTCAAACAGGCGGCAGCGGTGGTGGTAACTCTGATGTATAAGGATGGCTCAACCCAGCTAAGAGCTGACCAGGTGAGTATACAGTGGGGATTTTGTTTGTTTTGTTTTTCTGGCACCTTAAAAGAAACCCATTTTCTTAGTATCTGGTTTTAATAGGAGAGCTAGAAATAAGGTTTTAAGCCTTCCCTTCTCCCACAAAGGTAAGATGTTGGTGATGCACAGTTTATCGTGTTTTTTAAGAAAGTGCCAACGTCTTTCCCAGGGTGGTTGTGCCACTCTGCATCCCACCAGCCGTGCAGAGCCCCAGGACCCCCACCTCCTCGCCAGTTCTCGTCGTCTTTTTTATTTCAGCAATTTGAGCAGGTACGATCTATTCATTTATGCTTTAAATTGGATTTCCCTAATGAATAATGGCATTGAGCACCTTCTTGTGTGCTGATTGGTCATTTGTATATCTTCTTTGGTAAATGTGTGTTCAGATCTTTCAATTATTTTTAAATGGGGTTATTCGTGTTTTATTTGGGATGCATAAGGGTTCTTTATGTATCCAGATACAAGTCTGCTGTCAGGTCCATGATTTGCAGTTGTCCAACTCTGTGGCTGCTTTTTTCAGTTTCTTGATAGTGTCTTTGAAGCACAAAATTTTTTGAATTTAATGAACTCTTTAAATTTTATTGCCTACACTTTTGTTGCTATATATAAGAATGCTTTGCCAGCCCAGTTCATGATGATTTACTCCTGTTTTCTCCAGAGTTTGTAGTTTTAGCTCTTACGTTTAAATCTATGACCCAATTTTTAAAATATTTTATTTACTTATTATTAGAGAGAGGGGAAGGGAGAGAGAAAGAGAAAGACAGAAACATCAGCGTGTGGTTGTCTTTTGCATTCTCCCCACTGGGGACCTGGCCTGCAACCCAGGCACATGCCCTGACTGGGAATGGAACCGGCGACCCTTTGGTTTGCAGGTTGGTGCTCAGTCCACCAAGCCGCACCAGCCGGGGCCACTTTGAGTTAATGTTTGTGTGTGGTGTGAGGCGGGCAGATGTCCACCCTTTTGCGTGTGGGTATCTAGTTTTCCAGACACTATTGGTTGAAAAGACTCTTTTTTCCCCATTGACCTTTTTTTGACACTCTTACTGAAAATCAACTGACCATAAGTGTAAGGGTTTATGTATGGACATTCAGGCCTTTCCATGAATCCAGTTGTATATCCTTATACCAGTACCACACTGTCCCGATTACTTCAGCTTTGTAGTAAGTTTTGAAATCAGGAAGTATGAGTCTTCCTACTTCGTCTTTTTCAAGATTGTGTAGGCCATTTTGGCTCCTTTGCATTTCCATATAAAGTTTACAATCAATTTGTCAATTTCTGCAAGCATCTGAAGTAGTTTTTCATACAAAAGGTGTTGAATCTATAGATTAATTTTGGGAGGTTTGCTACTTAACAGTATTGAGTTTTCTGATCCACGAATGGGGGTCTCCTTTCATCCATTTAAAATTTCAATTTCTTTTAACAGTATATTGTAGTTTTCAGTGTAGTATACAAGTCTTGTTTTATCTTTGATTTTTTTAAAGATATTTTTGATGGCTAAAAAATCATGATGCTTTTTTTCTTTCAGCAACTACAAGATGTTACTCCATTATCTTCTAACTTGCTGTGTTTCTAAGTAACGTGATCCCTTCTAGCTTCTTACTCTCTTTGTTGTCCTTGAGTGTGGTGTGCCTCTCAGTTAATATCAGGTCTTCTCTGATGTCCTTCACCAGTATTTTGTAGTTTTCAGCATATACATCCTGTACATATTTTGTTGGTTGCTAAGTATTTCATTTTTTGAAGTAGTTATTAACAATGGTAATTTATTTTTTAAACATGTTTACTTTTACATGTTTATTGCTAGTGTATAGGAATGCAGTTAGGTTCAGCATTTTAATCTTGTATCCTGCAACCTTGCTGATTTTTTGTAGATTCCTTTGGGTTTTCTATGCAGACATTTGTGTCATCTGTAAATAGAGACTGTAATTCTTCCTTCCTCATTTACCTGCCTTTTATTTTATTTTTTTCCTGTTGCATCACACTGGCTAAGACCTCTGTTACGATGTTGGACAGAACAGATTTGGAGAGTAAGGTCATTGGTTTGGTTTTTGGCCTTGATCGTGACTAGAGAGCTGTTCACTTACACGTGAAATTTTTGGCCCTTTCTCTCTTCTTAATTATAAACCACGACAGACCTTTCTTGAGTAAACCGCTGTATCTATCATTGAAACTTTGTTTCACTGTGTGTTCGCAGGCTCTGGCTCCCTCCGTTAAAGGGGTTGCCATGTTACTGCAGAGCCATGAAGAAGGAGGCCGGGGTCTTCTGGGTGCCTCGGCCTCTGGCCGGGCTCTGGAGGAAGGCTTTCCGCCCAGGGATCGGTACATCTATGTGGAAACAGAGCACTCTTCTGTTTGGGGCCAAGAACCGGAGGCTCACAGTCAGTTTGCCAGGTAAGACGTTTTCACTCATTGCCTTAAAAACTACCGATATGCCTGATTTATCCCAATTTAAAGTTTCCCAAGCTTCGATTTTACTTGAACTTTTAGACGTTCCGTGTGGGCACGTGTTAATGAGGTGGATCTAAATGACAGGAGCCTCTAGACCCCAGTCCCCTCGCCCCCAGCGAGTGTCTGGGGGACCTGATCCAGGGTTTGCATCAACATCTCAGCAAGACCTGGTGGGAAAAGCGCCCTCCCTGAGCCCGAGGCCCCACGGCATGCCGGAGGATGGTTTTCCTCATCACACCAGGTCACTCCGTGACAGTGCTGGAAGGCGGGGCTCTCCCTGCTTTCGCACAGTGGGCCATCCTCGGGGCCGCTGAGTTAATTCAGGGATAGTAAGTGAGACAGGTCTTGCTTGGACCTGCCTTCTGAAGGGGCACCTCAGAGTTTTAGCCCAGGCAGAGGGCCTCTGTCTCCCGCCTTGCTCAAGCGTGAGAGGCCCTTTTGTGGGTGGAGCCTGTGCCCCTCACTGTTTCTTTGCTGGTGGCATCAGCCGTCTGGGGCTTCCACCCTGGCCGGGGGCATCCGCTTCCTGTGTGCCGGGCCCTCGGTGTGCGGGCTCAGTTAGCTGCCCCATGAAGAGTCCAAGGAGGCTCGGGGTGAGTAGGTGGGCCTGGTCCTGCCCCTTCCCCCAGCACCATGTCCCGGGCCCTGGGGGAGGGCTCCCAGCCTGCGGATCATGCTGCTCTCTGCCGGGAGCGTCTGCGGGCCTGGCCGCAGCCTGTGTTACCCACACGGAGCCTCACAGACATGCCCCCACAGAGGCCGCTGTGCAGCTGGACCGGCTCCTGTGGTGCTTGCTGTGACCATAGGACACACTTCAGCAGGCACCCCCAGGGGTCTTTGAGAGGCAATATCTATTATTCATAGGTTCTGGAGGACGCACAGCCTGCCGTAAGGCCACCCAGAGAGGCTGCTGTGTGAGGGGGAGAGAGACTGAGGGATGCCCAGGGTTTCCAGGGTTCGCCCTTCAGTGGCTAATTTAAAGCCTGAGACAGGGAGTCAGGGCCTGGGGAGGGAAAGTAGGGCTGCTTAAGTGCCCGGGCTCTCTGGGCGAGGGGCCTCCATGGGGGGGTGTGGGGGGGTGGCCAGGCCTCCTAGGCCGCTTCGAGGGCGTGTGTCATTGGCTGGCAGCACGTCTGTGCAAGGGGGTGGCTTTGGGAATGGCTGCCTGGGCAATCAGAAACTCAATGCCAGGCACTTGCACATGATAATGTTCAGTGAGAATGGCACAATGACAGATACAGCACTCTGCCCCCAAGGGACCCATAGCCTTCGTTTTATATGACTTTAGAAGAACAGATCTGTGCCACGGAAGACAGCCCTGTGCTCAGACGGCCTGTTCTGAGCTCTGGATTGAATAGCCTGCCCGACTCTCCATGTGGACATCTAAGAGTCACTTCAGCTTTAACACATGCAGAACCCACCTCCTGTCTTCCCTGAAGCCTGCCTCCTGCCACCCTTGTCATTCTAGTTCATGGCAGGGTCAGCCCACCGTGGGCTCGGGCCAGAAGTCTTGGTATTGTCTTGAATGCCTGTCTTTTTTCATATACTACCTCCAAACTCAGAGAATCCCATCAGCTCTGCCTTCAGAATATAGCCTTAGACTCTGACCCCTCTGACGTCTGCTGCTGCCATTCGAGGCAACCCTGCACCGTCTGACCTGAGCGTCCAGGCTGGCCTGGCCTGCACCAGCCCCTGTAGTCGGCACAGCACTCAGGGTCCTGCTCAGATGTAGACCAGGTCACACCGCCCCCGGCTCACGGTCCTCTGACAGCTCCTGCTTCGTGCTGAAGAAAAGCCAGAATCCCACAGAGCTCTGTGTGGCTGCGCGCCAGCCCCTCCCCTGTCTTGGACCATGTCTCCTGTCCCTGTGGTCCCTGCACACCGGACTCAGGGTTGTTCCCAGTCGTGGGGAGCCTATGCCCATGACTTCTAGCAGCTCCTCCCTCTCCTGCCGTCTTCTTCCGGGTAGCTGCACCATTCCCTCACTCATTCCTTTAAGCTCTTTAAGCAAAAAAATCAGGGTAAGAAAGCGCAGAAATAGAGAGAGTGGTATAATGCACCCATGTCCTGTCGACCCAGACCAGTCATCCAGACAGAAGGGAGGACTGTGGGGCTGGGGTTAAGGAAAATTCCAGATGTATTATTTATGTCACATGTCTCAGGATGCTCCTCTAAAAACATGGGCTTTTTTTTTTTACACACAGCCACTGTGTCATTCTCAGACTTAAATTTAATACCAAGTCCAATTTAAAGTTATCCGATTGTTTCAAAAGTAACTTTCTCCGCTCGATGTATTGGGGTCAGGACCAGTAGGGCTGCGTCGAGGCCGTACTCGTCTGTCCTCTTCCAGGGAGAGCGCCCTCTGACCCCAGCCCACCGTGCAGAAGGCCTGCCTTCCGGACTTCCCTGTTTCTTCCCCGTGCGGCCCCTAAACTTGCTCTCCTTTCCTCCAGGTGCTCTGTGAGCCAGACTTCAGTTCCGGAGGCAGATGATCCCGGTTCAACTTCTTCCACTAGGATAGCGCCCGAGGTGGTGGCTTGTGCCTCACGCTGCACGTGAGGTGCCGCCAGGTGGCCAGGTTTAGTGAATAAAAGCGAAGGATGCTGAATTTGGATTTTAGATGAGCAGTTAAGTTTGTACTGTTAGTACATCCCAAATACTGCATAGGACAGTCTTCCACTGAAGGAATACATCTCTAAAAATGTTCCCACTTTCTCAGATACAAGTTACTTGCTGTTTTTCTGAATCTCAGGGTCCCCGGGTGTCCCATATTCTGTCTGGCCGCCCTTTGGGATGCCAACGGGTTGTCTCAATGTCCATGATGCTGGCGTAGCGTCATGGGTCAGGTGGTGTCAGTGTGATCCCCCCACTGTGACTTCCCCACCAAACTGTCCCTTTGTGGTTTTGACTGTCGACAAGGGTCACTGGGTCACTTTTTAATTACGGCTCTCACTCTGTCGTTTCTCCACATTGCGCTTGTTCCTGTTTGCAAACGGGGCTCTGACACTTATGAGCACGTTTACTGCTTAAATTATTTTGTAGAGAATTTTCCTTCATCAGTGAGGTGGTTCACTTTGTCCTTCAAGCCGTTACTCGGGCGTCGCCCTGACACAAGGTCTCCCCTGGCTGCCGCGTGTGAATCGGGGCCCACCCCCAGCTCCGCACACACTCCTGAGCTCCCTGCTTTGTACCTGTCTGTGATGCCACCAACACCGTTCTGTGCATCTGGTGTGTTTGCTTTCTTTGTAAAAATACGATTCTGTTTATTCATTTTTAGAGAGGGGAAGGGAGGGAGAAAGAGAGGAAGAGAAACATCAATCGGTTACCTCTTACCTGCCTCCAACTGGGGACCCAGCCTATAACCCAGGCACGTGCCCTGACTGGGAATCGAACCCGCGGCCTTTCGGTTCATAGGACGACGCCCAGTCCACTGAGCTGCACCAGCCAGAGGACCTGTCTGTCTTGGGCTTTCTGAAGGCAGGGATTTTTATGTTTTGTTCATTTTTGTGTTTCCACAAACACAACACCAAGAACAATGCCACAGAGCATTGCTTAATAAATATTTAATCAGTGTTGTTATTCAGTGAACGAGGATTGAGGTTTAATTGTTGTAAGTTCCAGGACAATTATAGGAATGCATTGCCTCAAGGGCCATACAACTGGAAATAATCATCCCAATGCTATTATAACATCTTTGAGATTCAACGTGAATTTAAATAAATAACTCTTTGCACAAAATGTATTTAATAACATGTATTGACACCCGTGCAAGGTCTTTCCACAGACATGGTCTCTCTTCATGTTAGCATTAACTGTACGCGTCAGGTCTCATTAATTCCATTTTATGGATGAGGAAACAGACTCAGAGAAGTAGTCATAGGTCAGTCCTGCAATCTCAAGTCCAGCCTCCATGTTTTAGACTCAGATGTAGCCTTTTCACATTTGAGCTGCTTTTTTGTCTTGCCAGCGTGTCACAATCGAACTACATGACTGACTTATGGAACACCCTGGGTTTTAGCCACTTTGTCTTACAAAACGGTCTTTTAGTTGTTTGTCTCATCAAGACGGAAGCCGGAGAGATGCCTCTGCCGTCAGTGGAGCTACTGTGGTTACCAGACGACTTTCAGGGACGTCCGAGCTGCCAGTGTGTGGAGGCAGCAGCAGAGCGAAGCAGCTCTGGAGCCGGCTTCCCTTCCCCCTCTCGTGCCCCCCGCCCAAGCCCCACGGAGCCAGACTGAAGCTGTGCCCTCGGCACTTTGCCCCGCCCTGCCATCCTACCCTCCCTCTTCAGGAGAAACCAAGGTGGAATTCAAAGAAAATGCAAAAAGCCTGCGAAGCGAGCCCAGAAAAGCGAAACCATGCGTTGACAGCTTGTGCGGCGCTAACTGAGCTCCTGGGTTCCCCTTCCTCAGCCAGTCCGCAGGCCCTCATTAGGTGTTCACACGCAGGTGCTGGGGAGGGAGTTCGCAGTGTGGGCCTGGGCCAGCGAGGCTGGGACTGGGACCTCAGCTTGCTGCTCGCCGGTTGTGTAGTGCTGGGAAGGTGGTTTTCCGTCTCTGGGCCTCGGCTTCCATACCTGTCCAGTGTGTCTTGTGCCTGCCTGATGGACTGCGATGAGCTTTCCAGGTGACAGTCCCTGTGAAGCGTGCAGCGTGCCATCTGTCCAGCGACGCCGGAAAGCGTCGGTGCCCGTGCACTGTTGGCAGCCCCTCCCCCCCCCCCCCCCCCCCCGTTTGGGAGCTCGTGCTGTGGGGAGAGTGAAGTGCTGAGGCGAGCTGTCGGGTGTGCTCGCTGCTGTAGCAGCTGTGTGGGCAACAGTGGGGAAGGGGCCCAGGACGGGCAGCTTCCTGCCTGGGGAGTCGGGGCAGACCCTCCCGAGAACGGCTGGCTCTGGAGTGGGAGAGGGTGCCGCAGAGTCTGCTGATGGGCGCGAAAGAGCTCTGATCAGAGGGGGGAGAGTTTGGGGGTGTGCTGGGTGCAAGGCCAGAGAGTCTTGTTGGGGTCTGGGAGGAGTCTAGAGTAGGTATGCTGTGCTCAGGAATTTGGGTCTTTGTCGGTAATGGGGCTTTGCCTGAACTGCTGTGTGACCTTGGGCTCGTTATTTAGCCTCTCTGTGTCTCAGTTTCATCATCTGTAAAACAGAATGAGTACTACCTACCTCACGGGGTTTTTGAGTTGATGGATGTAAAGCCTTAGAAGGAGAGGGGCTGCGACAGAGCACTGGGTCAGTGGCAGCTGTCAGTGTAGTAGTACTAATATTTTACCAAGGTCAGAAGGTGTCAGTTCTTGTCTAAGTCAGTGAATTTCTTTTCATCTTCCAGAAACTTGCTGTTCCAAATACTGAAATGTGACTGTCCCGTCATTTGTTACAATGCTAAGGATTTTGTGAGAACAGTGTTGCAGTTTTTGGGTGATGATGGCAGTTGGAAGCATGGTGAGTGACAGCTGGTCATTTGGAAGTACAAGAAGCCCGGGACTTGGGACAAGCACCTGGCATGGGAACAGACTTGTGGGGTTGAGCCCTGGAGCTGCAGGGTCTACAGCAGCTCTGGGTACTTGGCGTCAGAACCGAACTGAGCTGTTGGACCCCTGCTGGTGCCCGCAGAGAACTGGAGAAGTGAGGTGCGGAGGCCCACCCACCTGGGGTCAGGGGTGCTGGAGGACAGCGGGCACCGTCACCTGATCCCAGCGGCTGCCACTGCGCCCAGTCTTCTCCCGCATCTCCACGCCCCTGGTCATCCACAGCAGATCCCAAGCACCATATGATTAACCCATAAACGTCCTGTAACATTTCAGTCATACGACTAGATACAAGGGTTTGTATTTATTTATTTTAGAGCGGAAGCAGGGAGAAAGGGAGGGAGACACACTTCAATGTGTGGTTGCCTCTAGCACACCCTCTACTGGGGACCTGGCCTGCAACCCAGGCATGTGCTCTGACTGGGGTTCAAACCTGTGACCCTTTGGTTCACAGGCCGGCACTCAATCCACTGAGCCACACCAGCCAAGGCCTAGGATTTCATTTTTAAGATGGTACCATCATTGTTATCTCCCCCCTACAATTAACAACGAATTTTTAATATTATTAGCTATCCAGTCAGTGTTTGTACAGTACTTCCCAGTTGTCTTTAAATGTTTTTGTTTGTCTTTGTTTTTTACAGTTTGTTTGAATTGAGAGCCACACCTGGGATGGGTGGGATATATTTCTTAAGTCCCTTCTAACGTGTATGCTGTCTCCCTCAGTTTTACGTCCTTGCAGTTACTTGTTGGGGTTGGTGGGGCCAGCTTGCTTGTCCCGTGGGGTGTCCACAGCTGGGGGACGGTGGTCACACCCCTTCTTGCCAGTTAACATGCTCCTCTCGCTCCTCTGTTTCTTGTAAATTGGCAGCTAGATCCAGAGGCTGAGTCAGAGGGCAAGGCTGCTTCATAACTCTAACCTTGACCCTGACCCTAACTCCCACGCCAGCCCTAGGTGGCGGTGTGTCCTTCCGTCAGGAGCCACAGCGTGTTGGTTGTTGGCCTTGCTGGTGACGTCTGAACCCCTGTGTCGCATGGTAGTGCCTCTTGCATCTAGTACGTACCTAGGGTCTGTGTGTAATCTCTCCGTTTCTCTTGTTTTTAAAAACAGTCCTCTCCTCTATTTTCTTTTTTACTTAAGGCATCATTTGTTACACTTATCTGCCTTTATGTATTGCCAGTTTTTATTTCTGAAATATTTTTATTTATGAAAATTTGTTTTATTTCTCTTTCCTGGATTCTTCCATTTTTCTTTTTCCCATGTCACCTGATTTCCAAGTATTTCTAATTCCGATTTACTTATTTTTTATAGATTTATTATTTTCTTGATCTTTCTTAGCTCATTCAACTCTGTTGTGTTGTCATTGCTGTTTCCACGGCTGGCCTTTCCCCCCGTGTGGTGTTTGCCCGGTCAGGCCTCGGCGCATGGGTTTCAGGAGGCGTGGGGACCGGCCCCACACCGTTCCAGCGCGGCAGGCATCCCTCAAGGATTTTCACAACTGCGTCTCGATAAGAATCCTTAGTTTCGGAACAGCAGAGCTTTGAAGGGGCAAATGGAAGGAGAAAGCCCTGCTGGGTCAGTTGGCGTCACCAGCCAGTGCTATGTCGAGTCGTGCACTGCTGGCCTGGGTGGCAGGCAGCCCGCCACTGCCACCTCCTCCTCCAGAGCTCCCACTCTGCCTGCGTGAGAGACTCCCAGACAGCAGACAAACGGCGCGTGACCCTGGCTGCCCCGGGAAATGGGGATCTCGTCCACCTGCCCAACGCGGGGCTGCCGGATGGCGGCACGTGCTCCGCGAAGTGATCTCAGGCCGCAGGGTGTTTGCAGGCAGACCCCTCGTTTTTGTATGGCACCAGTCGGGGTGTTACAGGGACTCAAAAAGCGGTCCCTCAGGGCTCAGATATACTTCTTAACGTGCCAGCTCCCCAGCCTTTTATAACACCCCCACTGTGTCTAAAATACTCTGGGACAAAAATGTACCTATTTAGCAAGTGTTCTTATTTTGTAAAAAGCACCTTCCCATGTGTCTCACACATACACACAGTCCTCTTTCTACCCAGTTTTCAGGTGAGAAAACTAGCACTTGAAGCAGCCTGACCTCCCAGGCTCCCAGCCTGGTCCCTCTGGCTCTTTTCACGCATCTGGCTATCTCACAGGATGTCCTCCCGCAGGCGGGGCACATGTCCAATGTGTCCAGCACCTTGTTCTCGAACACCCACCTGCCCTCCCCAAACCCCATGCTATCTGATGGGCAGCTCTGAACCGTGACACTTGGGTTCCCAAACCTTCTGTCGTGGGGTCAGGGTGGCCTGGGAAGGCAGCTGGAGGAGGGGAGGACTTGGACAGAGTTGTCATATGGACCGAGAAGAGGGAAAAGGAGAAGGGGAAGGGACGGAGGTGCCTGGGGCAGTGAGGGGCTTGGGAACAGGAGAGAAAGGGAGAGAGGAGGCAGAATGTATGGCTGAGAATTCTAACTGGGATCTCGTTTAACATTTTGAGAGGTTCAAATTCCAAGTTGGTTGGGAGTGGTTTGGGGATCAGTTTCCATGGAGATTGGCCTTCTGGGACCTGGGTTTTTGGAGGCCGCTTAGCAGAGTTTCCAAATTCCTTCATATTGAGAGAAAATCTCTTGGTACTTAGCTCTGTATTTGAGCAGACAGTGATGCTAGGGTTGTTAATTTGAACCTTGAGAACCTTGTAAAGCATAGAAAACACAAAGCCCTGTGATCTGAGGGTGACTGGAGGTGCTCTCTCCCCCCAGTGGCTGGCTTTATGGGGCTAGACCCGAGCATTGCCGCCTGGCTCATCGACCCTCAAGATGCTGTGCTGTCCTTTGAAGATTTAGTGGCAAAATACTGTGAAAACTCCATCATGGTTAAAGTGAGCAGCACACAGGGGAACTCCTCAAAAACTACTGTGGTGAGTCGTTTTAAGATAAGATTTTATCAACCTTAGGGCAACCCTTGTTTTTCTCCGGAAGCCCTACTTCAGAGACAGTGCAGCAGCCGAAAGGACGTTGCTGGTGTTCATTTTCACTCGTTCATCACGGTGCTTTTGCCCTGACATTTTCCAGGTGTGCCCCACCTTTTGTCATCTCTGGGCCACACATTAAATACACAAACACCAGTCCTGGCTGGTGTGGCTCAGCTGATTGAGCTCCGGCCTGCAAAGCAAAGGGTGGTTCAATTCCCAGTCAGGGCACAAGCCTGGGTTGCAGGTCAGGTCCCAGTAGGGGACGTAGGAAAGGCAACCACACATCAATGTTTCTCTCCTTTTTCTCCTTTAATTCCCCTCTCTCTAAAAATAAATAAAATCTTTAAAAAAAAAAACACCACATGCAATAATGAAAACTGGTGAGCCAAAAAAAGGTTTTAAGTAAGTTTAGGATTTTGTGTTGGGCTGCATTCATAGCCATCCCAGGCCGCATGCCAGCCGTGGGCTGTGGTTGGACACCCCTGTCAGGTAGAGGAGGGGAGTCCGGAGGGGGGATTCCTGTCCCCCAGAAGCTGTTCCTGGGAAATCCCCCCTCTTGGCCTGTCTTCTACACAGACTCTGTCTGGTGTCAGAGCCGCCTGCTTCACGAGCAGAGGCTGCCCGTTCATCAGTCCTTGGTGCTGGTGCCGTGGCAGCTGGGCAGAGGGTCTGGGGCGGCCCCTCCCCAGTACACAGCCGCCTTCTACACAAGTGAGGGTGCTCGCAGCTCGGGGGCCGTGCCCTGAGCCCAGCGACAGGGAGACCCTGCTTGGCCTGCCCCAGGCACTCCAGTGGGAGCCTCAGGGGCACAGCGGGGCCTGTCTCTTCGGGCCTCCTCGGTGGGAGCTCACAGCGGCAGGTCAGAAGCATGACTAATAGATCGTGCTGGGGGCGGCAGGCGGCGATGTTGCAGGCTGGGTGGCAGCCTGGGGAGCACGCAGGGGGCGTTGGGAGCCTGCCGTGCCTGCCCCCCTGAACTGGGGACGCCTGCTGCCTGCCCTTCGTCTCACACACCATCTGTGCCTCATGGGGGCTTGGGGTCGAAAATAGAGAATCCCACGGTCCCTTAATTTAAAAAGATCTGTCAGAGGGATATGGGGTAGTTCACGGTCACCTAGGAAAAGCAGAACCAGGCTCTGAGGACCCAGGGAGCAGGAGCCCAGGGGCCTGAGCCAGCGGTGAACCAGAACCTACTTATCTTGTGTCCCTTTTGTCCCCCTTTGCCCCCTGGAGGGAGGGAGGGGCAGTCCTCCCAGATTCCGAGCTGTCTGCAGACAGAAGCTGAGATCTTAGTACTGAAAGGAGTCACCCACCTCAGTCTTACCGGTTCCAGTTCACAGGTGAGAGAATGGAGGTGCAGAGGCGTCAGCATAACACGTCTTGTCTGAGGCCGATGTTTGGCTCTCTGGCCCTGATGTCTAGGTTCTTCCTAGTGCAACCTGTGAGTGAGCAGGGATTGGCTGTGGGGGCAAAGCGCCTGGCCTGACTTCTCCCTGGCCAGTGCTGGGGGCTTGTTCACTCAGCTGCCCCTGCAGGCCTGCCCCTCTGGTTCCACCGGGAGCTTTCCCCAAGGCCTCGTCCACCCCAGCCTCACGGGAGCTCCCCGCGTGTCTCATTGTCCAGTCACGAGTCTTCATGGAGGCCTGCGCTGCACGCTGTGGGAGGGGAAGCCGGCCGCCAAGTGCTGCTCTGAGGGCTGCAAAGAGGTCAGGAAGGGGAAGGGGACTCTGGGCGGAGAGACAGCGTGGAGACAGTCCGGAGCCGAGGGAGAAAGTGGCTCCTGTGGGGAGCAGCGAGGCCCCACGTGAGAAGGAGAATGAGATGCGGGGCCACCAAGGGGCTCGATCTTGTCCTGGGAGGCGTTGTGCAGGCGGCAGTGTGGCCGAGAAGCGGGCGTGAAAGCACTCACAGGGCCTGCCCGGTCGTTCCTGGGGAGCGAGGCCCGGGGCTGACTGGGAGACACAGGCTGCGGGTGTGTGGCCAGCCCCGCCCCAGGTCCTGCCGAGTCCTGAGTCTGAGGGGCCCAGGGCCTGGGCTTCCACGTGACAGAGGCCGGAGCTCCGGGCGGGGAGTTAGAAACAGACCAGTGTGGGGGCTGCAGCGGACCCTGCTCGTTGTCCAGGTGGGAATGGACAGCGGGTTGGACGGCAGGTATGGTGACCTGCCCCCTCTGCTCGCTCATGGAGGATGGAGCTGTGGGGGCCCAGAGGCCAGGTCCCCATCCTCCTGCCTCTGCCACCACGTAATCCTCACACTCTGGGCCCTTGGCCACTTGGTGGCTCATTGCTGGGAGAATGAGCAGAACAGAGGGCTGGGGAGAAAGGGTCAGGCACTGGGTCGCTCGGGTTTGCCCAACAGCAGCTCACCTCCCGGAAGCGACAGGCGATGCCGCGGGTGGGCGCTGTCTGCCGTGGAGAGACCGTGCGACCCAGCTGCTGGGCGCTGCTGGGAGTCGTGTCGCTCCCCAGGCTGTGACGACCATGGCTGCCCAGTGCGCCTAATTCTAATTCTTTTGATCTTTTAAAGCATCAGAACACATGTGCAAACCTGAGGACTCTCTACAGGCTTACGACAGACCTCTGTTCGCAGCTGAAGGCAAGGCATCCCACCCTCCTGGGAGCAGGCGTGGAGTGCTGGGGCCAGGCCGACGTCACTCTTAAAGGGGGAGTCCAGATGATAAGGCCTGAAGTTTTTGAAGTGTTTTCTATGGGCTAACCATTGTAACATTTTTAAAAGCCTCCAATTCGGTCAGAATGCTTCTTATACTACAGTTAACGTGAAAGCTGAGAGTGATTTTCAGTTACTGGTGACATGGACACAGTGCCACTCAGGCTCATTGCAAAGCAGAGGGCGTTTGATCCAGAAGAGTTGCAGGAAGGGACTGTGTGTGAGACGAGGGGCCAGTCCAGGCTGGGGAAGCCTCCAGCACAGGCACTGACTGCGAGTTTCCCCATCCCTGGGCTTGAAGGGCTGCTGCTGCTAGGGCCCGGGAGAGCAGTCGGCCCTGCGGGGGCTGCTGGACAGGAGCGGGATCCTGGAGCTGTGGCCTCAGGCAGAGGCGTGCAGCCCACAGCGCACTGTGGGCAGGTGGGGAGAGGAGCCCCGCTTCTCTCTCCACCTGGCGCCCGAGAGCAGAGGGAGCCCAGGCGATATGGGTGGAGGGCGTCAGCAGGGCAGGCCAAGGACATGAGGGCCATGGAGGAACAGATGAGGCCGAGGACCCTTTCAAGGGCAGCAGGCAGGAAAGGAGGAGATGGGGACTCTGAGGAAGAGCACGGGCGGTGGTCCGACAGACGGAGTGGTGTTCTGCCCTCTGGGCGGGCGTGGTCCGACCAGAAGGTCCCACTTCCCACCTTTGTCTGTGAAGTTGATGCGAAATCAGTGACAGTGCTAATCACATTTTTAGGAATCCAGTTAGCCTATTCTGAAATTAAAAGGGAAGCCTAAAAGCACATGAATACCTGTATCACACAAACTCCAAAGAGTAGAGAAAATCGGGGCAGGGCAGGCTTTCCCACCTCTACATACCTCCCCTAGGTCCCAGGGCTGTTAATACCCTAGGACACTGGATGGACATGAGGGGCCGGCGAGGCACGGCTGCTGGGGGCCAACCCTGCCCAGTACAGAGGTTGCCTGAATTCAGGTCACCATAATTAGGAGGCTGTTCAGCAACGTGCAGGTGGAAGTGATCATTTAGAAGTAACATTGGTATTTCTTCCTACAAAACAGGTTTATGGTTTATGGCAACTGTTTTGTACTTTGGAGCTTCCTCTGATACCGATTCTGGCAGGTAAGCTACCATGAAGATGACCTGTGGTCACTTTCAGGAGGACTGTCTGCACTGCTGGGGAGGACGGTGCGTTCAGGGGCAGGCAGCGTCTCCTCGCATGAGCACTGGAGAGGGAGCGAGCCCTTGGCTTTCCAATCAGTAATGAGAGGCGTAGGACGACATTGTGTCTTGGTGTAGAGGGGCCAGCGGGTTCCGACACTTCTCTCCTGTGGGGTCCCTTCTGTACTGTCCAGACCTGGGCGCCCTGGCCGAGGGACCGCTGCCCTCCTGCTCCCTGGCTCTGGAGAGCGGAGTGCATGGGCAGAGCCTGTCTGGACACTGCATCAGCAGGTGTCAACCGTGCAACCCTGGGGGACTGTGGCTAGGCTCTCTCCACCCTGGCCCCTTGGCGCCCCTCTGCCCAGGTCCTACTGGGTACAGGGGAGCAAAGCCTCACCCAGCTCCCTTGACAGAGTGTGGCTGGCCAGTGCATGTCTTCACGCCCACCACCACCGTGGCGGGGCTCGGAAACTGGGCCTGGGGGACCCTTTGCCTCTTGAGGCCGTGTGGTACGCTCCCACCTGCCGTCTCGCACAGAAGCGAGGCACTGATGTGGTTTTTCTCGGCCTGGTTTTTGCACCGCAGTGATGGAAAGCCACAGCATTCGGGTAAACAAGGAAGACTTAGAGAGGACCTCAGCTCTTCTCGGGGTACGTCATCCTGCAGACCCTTTGTGTTGCTGGCACTCTCCTTTCCTTCCCAGACCCAGGCCAACCTGTGCCTCCTCAGGGCGACGGGGGGGGGGGGGGGGGGGCGGGAAGCTCAAAGGCTGCCTGCGGTTGCTGTCCTGCTGCGTGCGCACTGGGCTTAATGGGGCTGTAGCAACCTGCTGTTGCTAGGTTCTTGCAAGGGCATTGCCCCCTAGTTTGACGACAGGAATTGATGGGCTTCTTGGACTCTTTAAAAAGCAAAAACACAACTTTCTAACAGTGAATAATGAAGACCACAGAGAGACACATGAAGATGCACGAAAAGATGCATTAAAATGTCTCCCTGAACCTCCTGTAGAACCTTGCCTGTCAGCACCCCGCCGGCCCCCATGCCTCTGCTTTCACAGTTTCCATCCGGTGCCCCAGGAGTGCTCGGCCTGCCCGTTGAGCTACAGGGTCCTAGCTGGGCCTGACTGCTTTTGCTCAGGGTGCCCTGTCACTCGCGCTGTGGTCCCCATCACACTGCTATTGGCAGGCGTCTGGGCTGTTCCAGTTTGCAGTCACCACACACCATGCTGTGGCCTTGGGTGTGTCTCCGGGGCTTAAGCACCTGCTTCTCGGGAGTGCAAGGCAGGTGGGGCTGCTGGGGTCAGGGGCCCAGGGGCAGGATGCGCAGGTCTCACCCGCCGGCAGTGCACACAAGGTCCTGTCGTTGCCCACCTTCCCCCCACCCCGCCCCCTGGGCTGTCAGGCTTCAAAGCAGCCATTTGGGTGAGGACAGAATGATGCCTCATCCTGTGAGCGCACATGCAGGTTCATCTCTGGACGCGCCATGCTCTTCCCTGAGCCGCCAGCTGTCTGCGCCAGGGCCACCCTGTTTGATTTCTGTGCTTTGTAGTAAGTTTGGAAGTCGGGGCGTGTGAGGCCTCCAGCTTTGTTCTTCTGTTTCAAGACTTTTGGCTACTCTGTCTCTTGGAATTCCATACGAATTTCAGGGTGGGTTTTTCTACCCCTGGGAAACAGAAGTCTTTGGATGGGATAGGGATGGAGCTGACTGTGTGGCTCGCTGGACTGGCGTCCCCACCCTCGTACCCGAAGCCTCCCGTCCACAACGTGAGAATGGTTTCTGCTTTCGTGTCCTTTTACTCTGCTCCCAGTGATGGTTTCTGGCGTTGGCTGCACGAGTCTTTCACCTCCTGGGTCAACTTGACGCCTAAGTGCAGGCACAGCCTGTGTCACTGCTCTCGGCTTCACTGTGCTTTGCAGGTACTGCTTTCCTGCACAGATGCAGGGCCCGTGGCGCTCCTGTGTCAGGTAAGTCTGTCGGCCTCAACTGTCCGATGGCATCTACTCACGTCATGTCCTTGTGTCACGTTTTAGTCATTCTCATAGCATTTCAAATTTTTTCCTTCTGACCTTTGCCTTGGTGATTAGTGACCAGCGATCTTTGATGTTACTGTTGTCGTTGTTTTGGGGTGCCAGTAACCAATCCACATAAGACAGAGAACTTAATAAATGTGTATTCTTTTTTTTTAGATTTTATTTATTTTATTTTTAGACGGAGGGGAAGGGAGAAAGAAAGAAAAGGAGAGAAACATCAATGTGAGGTTGCATCTTGTGTGCCCCCTACTGGGGACCTGGCCTGCAACCCTGGTATGTGCCCTGACTGGGAATCAAACCGGCGACCTTTTGGTTTTCAAGCTGGCACTCAATCCACTGAGCCACACCAGCCAGGTCTAAATGCGTGTTCTGATTGTTCCACTAACTGGTCATTCCAACGTCTTTCTCCCTTTCCTCAGACCTCCCTTTTCCCTAAACCACGACAGTATTGAAATTGGGCTAGTTAATAACCCTACAGTGGCCGCTAAGCCTTCAAGGGAAAGGAAGAGCCTCACAACGCGCACCTTTACATCAACAGCTGGAAGCAGTCAGCTCGGCGAGGAAAGTGTGTCGGAGGCCGACGTGGGCTGAGAGCCGGGCTTCTTGTACAGAGCAAGTAAGTGTGAAGGCAAAGGGAGCATCCTGGAAGGAAACCGAAAGTGCTACTCCAGTGAACACATGAGACAGTTAGGGGTCTGGACAGATCCGACAGCCTCAACAAGCCCCTGGTGAAGCAGCAAGAGCCGACGCAGGAGCTGCAGCAAGCTCTCCAGGTCAGCCCAGACAGTCAGTGAAGGCAGCTGCTCCCAACAGCAGATTTTCAGTGGGGGTGAGCCAGCCGTCCACTGGAGGAAGACACCATCCAGGACGCTCATGGCTAGAGAGTAGACGTCGGGGCCTGGCTTCGGAGCTTCAGGGGCAGTCTGGCTCTCCTGTGAGGGGCTGATGTGGCCGGTGGCCTTAGGGTGAAGCCAGTGCCCATTCACCATGAAAACCCTAGGGCCCTTAGGAATTGCACTGAATCTGCTCTGCCCGGGCTCTTTAAATGCAACAAAAGAGCCGGGAACCCAGCACGTACAAGGGTGCCCACCCTTGGGGTGTCTCTGGGCCACACGTTAGATACACTGTGACATGTAATCACAAGAAGAATCTCATAATATTTGAAGTAAATTGACGATTTTGTGTTGGCTACATTCACAGCCGTCCTGGACGGCATGCGGCCTGCCGGCTGCAGGTTGGATACGCCTGGTTTACAGCATGGTCTTACTGAGTGTTTGGAGCCCACTGTTGAGACCTACTGCTCAGAAAAAAAAGGATCCTTTCAAAATATTGCTGCCCACTGACAGTGCACCTGGTCACCCGAGAGCTCTGAGGGAGGTGAAGTTACTTCCACACCTGCTAACCCATCCTGCAGCCCATGGACCAAGAAGCAATTTCCGTTTCCAAGTCTTGTTACTGAAGAAATACATTTCTTAGGGCTATAGTGACTCCTTTCATGGATACGGGCAAAGTAAATTGAAACCTTCTCTAGATTTTGTTTGTGGAAACGACGATAAAGCTTCCCAGAAGTAATAAATGAGATTACCAGGGTACCAAGATGGGAAGTCAATATACAAAAACCAGTTGTACGTCTATGTGTTGCCAATAAACAAGTTACTGAAATAAACAATGCTCTTATGACAGCGTCCCAAAATCTTAGGTAAAAACCTGTACACTGAAAACGACAAAACACCCATGAAAGGGATCAGAGAAGCCCCGTTACACCATATTCATGGTTTAGAGCACTCAGTGTGCCAGTGATCCCCAAATTGACCCATAAATTTAACACAGCCCCTGTCACAATTCCTGCAGAGTTTTTCATCGCTATCAGCAGGGTTTTTCTGTCCATCACGCTGACCCCGGGTCCAGGGCTCGTGCTGCTGCAGAAACTGCCCGTGTTTCCCTGCAGTTCAGCTGGGGTTTCTTCATCTGTTTGACGGCTGTCACTGGGGGTGTGCCCGTGTGTAACTGTTGTGTCACTGTGTGTGTCAGATATAAAATGTCATCCTTTGTCCTTGGAACCACTTCTGATGGAAAGCCTGTTTTGTCTGGTATTCATATGGCCACCCCTGCTCTGTGACGGTCCCTGTGTGCACACAGTATCTTTTTCCGTCTCTTCACTTGTAACCAGTTTGTGTCTTTGGATTTAAAGGGAGCCCCTCACAGACAGTACGTAGTGGGATCATGTGTTCTTACTCACTGTGCCGGCCTCTGTCTTTCGAGGGAAGACTTTGCTCCATTTACATCTAAGTGATTGCTGATGAGGAGGGCCTTGGATCCACCGTTGTGCTGCCCGTTCTCTGTGCGCCCCGTAGCTCTGTTTGTGTCCCGTTCCCCACATTACCGCCTTCTCAGTATTTAAGATCCTTCCTCATTTCCTTTTGTGTGTATTCCACAGCTCTTTTCTTTGTGGTTACCATAGGGATGACATCGTAATGCTACCATACTCTAATTCGAATGCACACCAGCCTGACTTTAACACACAAAAGCTCTGCTCCGTTGCAGCTCCGCCCCGCCCCTCTTGTTGTCCATGTCACAAAATCATGCTTTTATGCATCATGTTCCCTAAAACATAAACGAGTAATTTTTTTAATGCATTGGTTCTTGAATTATGTAGAAAACAAGATTGGGGACACAAAACTAAAGTTTTAGTAACATCAGCTTTTCCACTCAGTTGTTTACAGTGTGTTTGTCTCTCTCTCCCTGCGGCACAGAGCTGCGGGCTTTGCCCTTCATCTCGGCCCCCAGGCGCACCTGCAGCACTTCCTCCAGGGCCTGGCTCACGTCTCCATCAGCTTCTGTTGTTCATCTGGAACCTTCTCGGTGTATCCCGCAGCCTGGAAGGGCAGTTTTGCCCGATAAGTATCTTGGGTGGCAGTGGTTTTCTTTTAGCATGTTGAATATAATGGTCTGCTTGTTCTGGCCCCTAAAGTTTTGGGTAAGAAATCTGCTTATTGTCTTACCGAGGAACCGTTGTCTCTCTTGCTGCTTTCAAGATCCTCCCCTTGTTTTGTTTTTGAAAGTTTGATTGTGATGTGTCTTGGTGTTGATCTCTGATGAGCCCTTTGAGTTCATCTACTGGAAGTTTGTCGAGCTACTTGGATGTCTGTACTCATGTCTTTCGTCACTTTGAGAGGTCTTGAGCCACTGTGTCTTTGAACATTCTGGCCTCCCTTTCTCCCTCTCTCCTCTTTGAGGATTTCTGCCGTCGCGGTGCCCACGGGTTCCTCAGGCCGTGTTCTCGTTTCTGCAGTCTTCATGCTTCTGTTCTGCAGCCTCAGCAAATCCCTCCCTACTCTCCTCCCGTAGTCGCTGGAGCACCTTTGAGACAGTCCTTTCGCGGCGTCTGTCTCGTGGTTCTGCCGGCCCTGGAGCGGCAGTCTCAGTTACCAGACAGCCATCGCGGTAGCTCCGTGCTTGGGTTCAGGTGGCCCTAAGTTTGTGTAAGAAAGTCCCAAAGCTCAGGGGTGGTGACGCTGGCAAACTGGGGATGAGACTGTGTTTCCATCACATTCACAGTCTCGTCTCAAGGAGCTGGAGCAGGAAGCCCATTTTGTTGCAGGAGAGCAGTTTCTTATAACAAGTAATAATCAGCTTCGTGAGGTAAAGCCCCATTTTCATTCTTTAAAAAAAATTTTTTATTTATGTATTTTTGGGGAGGGGAGGGAGGGGACAGATAGAGGGAGAGAAACATCACTGTGTGGTGGCCTCTCGAGCACCCCCTACTGGGGACCTGGCGCACAACCCAGGCATGTGCCCTGACTGGGAATCGAACTAGCAACCCTTCGGTTTGTCAACCAGCGCTCAATCCACTGAGCCACAGCAGCCAGGGCCATTTTGGTTCTTTTATAAAGTGAACTTCTTACTCAGGGGTTAAAGGGAGATTTATTCTGAATGTATCTATGCTATTGTATGTTGTTTATCTGAAAAGTATATCAGTTCACGTTCTCACATGCTGAGAGTCAGTATGCCCAAGAACAGCAGTGAACGGGCACGTAAGCACCTCGCACTGCGCGGCCAGCATGTCTTCTCCGGCTGGCCGCGTCACCCTGTTGGGGTGCGGCGTGGAAGCTCTCACGCCCATGACCCTTTCCGTGCATGTACTGCCTCCACTGAAGATCCTGTTTGGCAAACTGAAGCTGCACCTGCTGAGCCCAGTGGAGACGCTTCCTAAGACGGGGCCGTGGAGTCACCTGTCCACCTCTGAAGCTGTGGTAAGGCTCAACAGTTGTCCCCTTTTGCTTGACAGTTGTCCCCCCTTTTGTGCAACAATAGCGTGTCAACAACATGTGAGAGCCGACTCTCAGACCCTCCTGTGTCCTGGGTGGGATGTGCCAGCAGCGCCCATGGTTCGAATTGGTCATCGCCCCCACCCCACGCTCGCTGCCCCTCTGCTTATGCAGTGGGCAGAAAGAAACAGCACTGCTGCTGCCCAGAAGCAACCAGTCAGCTCCATTCCCGCGAGGGCAGTGTGGTGGGCTTTGGCTCTGAAGACCAAATTCTTGGCAACGGCATCCCAAGCTGTCCCTTTCATGCCGCACAAGAGACTGGGAAGGGCACGGGGCATCAGTCCTCGCCTCCCCCACACTCGCTTTAGGGAATTCTAGCTGCCCTTCTCTCAGGAAGGGGAGAGTTTAAAGGATGGCATAGTGAGATGCTGCTCTCAGAGGGTGGCACGGCCTGGACACAGTCAGAGCCCAGGTGGTGGCCCCTGTGGAGGGGCAGCAGCAGGGGCCAGGTGCCCCAGCCTGGACCCTCCAGGCCCATCCAGCATTTGGCTCTGCAGCCGAGGACAGTCCCCTTGTAGGCTCCCCCATCATTCTGCTGTCTGCTCGTCTGAGCCCTGGCAGGGCCCCTCGCGTGCTGCCTGTCCGCAGTCCTGTTCCTCGAGGGCTCGGGGCACCCTTGTCGAGTGAGGCATGGACTGCTGCCGAGCCAGTCCACGGCAGGGACCTGAATCCATCCTCTCCCACAAGTCTCCACCCTCAGTGAATGGCCTGTCCTGCTCTGCACCCCTGGGAGCCAGCTGTGGGGAAGCCAGGGCAGCAGCGCGGCCCCCATGCTCACCTGCAAACTGTGGCCACATTACTGGGCACCTTTGGGCCTCAGGCCCCTGGTCTGTAGAAGGAAGATTGTAACAGGAATCTCCCTACAAGAATCTTGTGAGGAGTCAGTGAACGAGGGAGGGAGGGAGGGAGGGAGGGAGAGACAGTATTTGGGGCCTTGTCTGGCATGTAAGCTCTCAAAAGCCAATGAGTTCTGGTTGTTACTATTAGCTTCTTCCTCTAAGCCTAGGAGCCACCTTTGATCTCCTCTTGGCCTCGCCCACAGCAGAGGGGAGTGCCTGCCTGTGACACACAGGGTCTGCCCACTTCTCTGCGCCTTCACTGTCGCCACCTTCACCTCCCCACCTACCTTCCTCCAGAGCTTCCTGCCCAGTCCCCGGTCTGCCTGCTGCTCTTGCATCTGGGCAGAGTGGTCTTCAAAAGCATTAGAGAAACCACGTCAGGCCCGTGACTTGAACTTCCAGTGGGGACACTTGGAATAAAACCCCAGCTCTCGAGTGGGTCCTAAGGGGGCATGGGTGTGGCTTGCCCCTTCCCTTGCCCACCCCCTCCGCCTGCCCAGCACCCACTGAGCAGGTGCAGCCCCGCCCTCCAGGTCATCCACTTAAGTCACTTTCAGAAACCCCCTCTAGTCATCAGAGGACAGCAAGGCCTCAGCCACAACCCATTTCTTCACCGTAATTTCTCTGCACACAACTCACCATCACCTAGAGTTGCCTTAGTTGCTTGCTTATCCACTGGGATGCAGGCTGCGCAGAGCAAAGCCGCCCAGAGCTAGTCCTGGGGGTGCTGCCGGAGGCCTGGGCTTTGCACATGGAGCGTGGAGCACTGGACAGCAGGGGGCAGGACGCGGCTTGTTGGGGAGCCCGGGGTGGATTTCAGTTCGCTCCGGCCAACTGGGCAGCAGGCCCAGGTCCCAGCGGGGTGGGACCTGGGGAAGCCGTCCTTGTCCCCCCTGGCCCTACCTGAGTGGGGTCCTGGCTCCAGCTGGCAGTGCTGCCCTTCCCTGGCCATCCCTCGGCTCCCCAAGATGACAGCCACGCAGAGAGGAGAAGGGGCTCTCTCTGCACTGGGTGTGCTTTCCCGCAGACAGGGTCAGACGGCACCCTCAGTGTTTTCCCACAAAGGCACGATCGACCTAAATCCTGTCTGCCTCACTCTCAGCTGGACCAGCAGCACCGTCCGTGCCTTCAACAAAACAAACGTCTGCTCAGCAGCACATGCGCGGTCAGATGCGGAATGAAGCCTCCTTCCCTGCACTGCCCTTCCCCCTCGCCGTGGCCTTCAGGTGGTGGGTGGCCCGGAGCCACTCAGGGAGGGCGCCACTGTCACCCCAGCTGTGCTCTCATCAGGCTTCACCCTTGACAGCAGTGCTAGGGTCGCAGCGAAACTGGGCGGAAGGCACAGAGCGGTCTTGCACCCCGCCACAGCCCCCCTCGGTCAGCACCCCCACCAGAGGGGCCACCCGGCCTGCACTGGCATGTCACCCTCGCCCGGTGTCCGGTGCGTGCGGGTCCCTCCTGGCACTGCATACCCTACGGGCTCGGCCAAACCTGTGGCGAAACGCGTCCACCACTGCAACCCCTGCGGAGCAGTCCCACTGCCCTGAGTGCGCCCTGTGCTCTGCCTTCCCTGCAACCCGCTGGCGACCACGCGTCTCCCGCCGTCTCCTAGTCTTCTCCTTTCTAGGATGTCCAGTGCGGAATCCCAGTGTGGAGCCTTTCCAGACTGGCCTCTGTCACTCAGTCTCGTGCATTTATGGCCCCACCGTGTCCTTTCACGGCTTTGATGGCTCATGTCTTTGTAGTGCTGAATAATATTCTGTGTCTGGATGTGACTGTTTATTCTTCTGTTCATCTGCCAAGGGACATCTCATTTGCCTCCAGCTCTGGCAATGACGAATAAAGCTTTCTAAACATCTATGCACAGGGCCCTGCGTGGGGGTGAGTTTTCAGCCCCTTTGCATAAATGACCAGGGAGCTGGACTGCTGGGTGGGGTGCTGAGGGTGTGGTCAGTCTTGGGAGGAACACCCACACCGCCTCCCAAGTCACCGCACCACGTCCCCCCCCCCAGCAGTGAGGGTGTGGTCCTGCTGCCCCTCGTCCCGCCAGTACCTGCTGCATCAGGGTCCCGACAGGTGTTCTGACAGGTACGTGGTGTGTCTCACAGCTGGTTGGAGGCTCACTACTAGGCTGTCATTGTCACTGTGTGTGGGGACCGATGTGGCCATAGTCCAAGTGACAGTAGTGAAGATGGGGCAAAGTGGGTGGATCTTCAGAGCATTTAAAAAAACTGTTTTACTTATTTTTAGAGAGAAGGGAAGGATGGGAAAAAGAGAGGTAGAGAAACATCGATGTGTGAGAGATACATCCATTGGTTACCTCTCACCCGCCCCTACTGGGGACCTAGCTAGCAACCCAGGCATGTGCCCTGACTGGGCATCGACCTGGAGATCTTGGTTTGCAGGCCGGCATTCAATCCACTGAGCCACACCAAACAGGGCTTTCAGAGCAGTTTTAGAACAGAAAGAAACCTCTGTGAGTGTGAATGGAAGTCAGGACTGTGGGGTCCTTCCTGGTTTTCTGAGATCTGTGCCTGAGCAGAGATGGCAACTACTGAGGGAAAACTGGGAAGGGAACAGATCACTGGGGTGGGGAGTGAGGAGTCCAGTCTTGGACTTCAGACAGAGACAGTGACACAGATGTCACATGAGCCATTGGGTCTGTGAGAGTTCCTTGCGCTAGAGATATGCACTTGGGGCTGGCCAGCTGATCTTAATAAAGTCACCTGGGCTGGCGGTCCCCAGGCCTGGCAGGAGCTTTGGAAAAGCACGCATGCCCAGGCCCACAACGGGTCCACAGCGTCAGCATCAGTGGCTGGGCAGCCTAATCGCAGGCATGCATTTGAAGCTCCCCATCTTATGCTGATAGGCAGCCAGCACTGAGGACCAGAGAACAACTCAGAAACTGCCAGGTAGAAGCCAGAGAGAGAGCACAGGGGATGAGAAGAGTGTGGGGTCGAGAGCCAGCGTGGGGAGGGGTCGGTAAGCTCCTGGATCAGCGGGCAGCAGGGTGCTCGGGGCCTTGTGCAGAGTTTGTGTGAGACCCGACACCCCGTCCTTTTCAAGTGTTCTTGGGCAGCTCCCGGGAGATGCGCTGGGAGACTGTGCTCAGAAAGGTATTTTGTCAGTAGGGTATCAGGATAAGGAGAGTTAGTTGATCTTAAGCGGGGTTTTTTTGTTTTTTTTGTCTTTTGTCTTTTAGCTAAGGATTTTCATGCACTTTCATCCCCCTAGCAGTGGCTTTTCTAGGAAAACAGAACATCTGGCTGAGACTGAGTCAAGAGCCGCTGCCCCCCACCCTGCCACCTGGGCAGTGCCCGCTCCCAGGAGCCGCGTCAGTGCTCCCGCTCGAGCATCCCTGGGTGGCTAGAGCCCTGTCCTTGGTTTGTCTGCCAACAGCGATGCAGTTCCGTGGTTGGTGCCATTGCACTGAAGTCAGCGCGCTAAATCTCAGATTAATGTATAGACCGAAAAAATGGTCCCAATCAAAACCTTAGCGGGAGGTTTTTGTAGAAATTGACAAGCTGATTCCCAAACTTATATGGAAATGCAAAAACTAAGAAGGAATGAGATCATCTTGGGCCACGAGGCACGACCGGAAGACAGCGCGTTAGATATCAATACTAATCACAAGGCAATAGAAATGAGCAGGAATCAATCATTATGCTGGAGGGTCATCCCAAGGACAAGCAGACAACCACGGGGCCAAGACCGAGAACCTGCAAGCTGGGGATGTAAACAATTTGGGCCAGCGCCTCTGGGCCCCTGTGTCACACCTACACACAAAAGTCCAAGTGAATTGTGTATCAACACGTAAAAGCAAACAGCACAGATTGTAGAAGACACCATAGGGTCTCTTCGAGACCTTGAGGTCAGCACACAGGACATGGGCACATCAGCCAGAAAGGCAGAGACTGGCAGATCGGGCACCAGTGCAGTCGAGAGCCTCTGTTTATGGAAAGACAGCACGAAGCACGTGACAAAGCAAGCCCCGTGGGGAGGAGGCATTTCCAGTGCCTATAACCGACCAAAAGAGAACCCTGTTCAGGTGAGTGACTGTTTACAAACCAGGAAGGAAAAGACACGAACCATGTTTTCAAATGGGCCAAAGACACGAAAAGAGGTTTGATGAAAGACATGCAATTAGTTGATACCTGTTGGGCTGCCGTTCACTTTCTCACTCACTGGGAAACAGACGTTAAAACCCTACCGAGATACCACTTCAGTTCACCAGAACGGCTAGGATTAAGACTGAGGGCAGCAAAACAAGCAAACAGGCGAGAAAAGCAACTGAGGAGAGCGCGCATCACCAGGGATGTGGGGCCACTGGGCTTCCGTGTGTTGCTGGTGAACTGACCAGTGTTGTCCGTGCGCAGGGCCACCTCGCTCCTCTGCGTGTGCCCGTTCGTGCTAACCAAGATCTGTGTGCCAGACGGCTCACGGCGGCGCCCTCCAGAGCCTGAAGTGGCAGCAGCCCGTGCAGCCGTCCGTGGTGGGACGGGTAAACGTCCTGCCTTCACACAAGGCAGCCTTACCAGTGAGCGACGCGCTCTTCCCACAGCGATGTGGATGAACCTTAAAGCTAGGAGGTCGATCGCAGGAAGCCACGCACAGAGTGTACCCGTCCTGTTCCACTGGCAAGATGTCCAACAACGGGGAAGTGGCTGGGACAGCAGCAGTCGGCGGTGGGGGGCAGGGACCTGCTTGGGAGCCTGGAACGTTCCACCTGGGTGAACCGGAGCATGTTTACTCATGATACTTTAATAACTTGCATTCATAGGACCTTGTATGTTGCTGTATGTTCCATTTTGACTTTTGGAAATTAATGTCAAGACCCACGATCGTCTTCCGATGCTACCTCCCCGATGGCTGCCCGATTGCCGTGGTTCCGATGCTGCCTGTTCCTGAACTATCAAGCCACACATCGGTGGGCGTTTTTCCCAGTTCACTCTCCCAGGAGCTGCTTCATTTAGATTTCACTCACTGGAATCTCAAGAGAAACCCATTCCCAGGTCTCGTGAGGCCCACAGTGGCCCTGTAGGGGATTCCAGGCAGGACCCTCGGTAAGCCGGCCTGCCTGGGCCTTCATTCTGGAAAGCATGCTCAGCGTAGACCATTTTCTCATTAGGACTCTCTCCCAGTAAAAGTAAGTGCTTGAAATGTCGGAATTAAGTGAAGGAATTGTTTCGGTGATACTTACTCTCACTTTTCAGTTGAATGCTCTGCGAGACCTGCACCCGTTGCCCGGGGTCATCTTGGAGCACAGGCAGGTGGGTCACGTTCTCTTCTTCTAAGTCGGCGACAAAGGGGGTGCGGGTGGTGCCGTCTCTGTTAACAGAGCCCACAACACCGAGGTGCCCCTGACGTGGTCGGTCCTGAGGGGCACGGCATCTGTTCACGCTGCCCTTGTACTGGCATGGCCAGTGTGCGCCCTGACGTCCTTGTGCTCATGTCTGCAACCTGCCCCACTCCACACTGCAGGCGGCACGGGAGACCTCGGAGGGCAAGGTCTGGTGTCAGTGCCTCTCTGGAAACCCGCCCCCGCCCCCCCAGCCCCGGGCCTGCTGCAGTGGCTCCTCGGCTGTGTGACCCCCGGTGCAAGGTGGTGCTGCTCACTGCCCCGCCTCCCCTTCCGGCAGCTCACGAGTTCTCCGCTCACACACCTGCGTTCGCTCTGCTGTTCGCGAACCTTGTGCACCGCTTTCCCCAGATCGGGAACCTCGGTGTTTTATTTGCTGAACCTGCGACTTGCTGTCTTTGCTAGGGCTGGGCAGCTGTCACAGGGCTTGGCAGTGGCAGCTGATCCTCGTCCTTGATGTAACGAGGGGATTCAAAGAGAACGCAGAGGGCGCCACAGGGGACACCGGGTGGCGGGCGGGTGGGAGCGCCCGTTCATCTCCGTGACTTGTCTGAAAGAATTACTCCAGAGCGACACATTTATCCAAAGAGGGGAAGGGACACCTTTTGGTGTGGGTCAGTGCTGGTTAGTTCTGGGAGCCACACAAGGCCACTTCTGGGCCTCCCAGGGTCACCTCAGGTGGCACCAGCGGCTCGTGCCCAGCACTCGATGAAACGTGGCTTTGACGCTTGCTCCTACCTGCACAGAGAAAATGGTCATTTTTGTCTTTGTGATTTAGGTTCACAAGATCAAGTCGACCTTTGTAGATGGACTACTAGCTTGCGTGAAAAAGGTAACTGAGGCTAAAAAATAGTAGAATGTGGTTTTCACGGGAGTTCAGATGTGGAACTTTAAATTTTAGTTAATGGTGAAATAATCTAATCAACCTGCAGCTGTGAGCCATGATTTTGCTGAGAGTCAGGCCTCTTTATGGAAGCCGGGCCAGATGTGGAGGCTGGGCTGCTGACCTCCAGCGACCCCACCCGGGACTGCAGCTCATTTCTGTGGTCATGGCAGGGAGGTCTGCACCCGGAGGCCACACAGCCACCTGGGATGCATAGCCCACGCTCAACCCCTACAGCCTGTGTCCTCACGCACCGGGTTTTTAAGTGACTCAAAGACCCATGTATCCTACTGCAGTGTCCCATCGGTGGGGGGGTGTCTCCTTGTCTACCTGATCACATGGCAGCAGCACCCGACACCTGGAACCTGTCGGGTTGGGGCTCAGGGCCTGTGCACGGGAGCGGGGAGGCTGCCTCTGGAGGGGCAGAGGCTGAAGGGCGCAGCACGGGCCCGACTGCACGGTGCGCTGTCAGAGCTGTGACGAGCCCTTTCTAACCGATGAAGGGCTCCGTGGCCTCCACGTGGAACCAGACCGGGACTGTGACCGGACGACTTTCCTCCAAGCACCCGGTGAGTCCGCGCCCCTGGCCCCTGGCTAACTGCCAGTTTCTGTTCTGAGGGGGCCCTGCTGACAGGGTGTGTTTTCCCTGTTTGTTCATCCGGCACCTACTGTGTTTGGGGGACACAGAGGCAGATGAGACGCATGGTCCGTGCTGTGCTGTCCTGCTCGGTCAGGGAGGGGCCCCTCCCAGCCGGAGAGCTGTGCCCACAGTGCCGAGGGCGCGACTGGTGCCCTGTTCCCACCCCCACCGTCGTTTTTCAGATCTGTGCTGAACGGGTGGCTTCTGACGTCCGGAACCGGGTGGAGCTGTCCCTGAGAAAAACGCTACAGACGCCCGAGTGTGGGGTGCGGGTGTAACAGATCTCAAAGCAATCAATTTTTTTTTTAAGATTTTCTTTATTTATCTTTAGAAGGGAAGAGAAATATCAATGTATGGTTGCCTCTCGTGCATCCCCTGCTGGGAACTGGCCTGCAACCCCGGCATGTGCCCTGACTGGGAATGGAACCGTGATCCCTTAGTTTGCAGGCCCATGCTCAATCCACTGAGCTATACCAGCCAGGGCTCAATCAACTTTTTAAATGGTTTTATATTTTTGAATTAAAGACAACCCATTACTATTTTCTCGTTATAGGAACAGTTCCTTAAGTGCAGAAAAGAAATGTAAAAAATACTAATGGAAGTCCCTTGGGGCCCCCCCATGTGGAATTCACTGCAGCTGCATGGGAGGGGGGGGCTGAACTCCCAGGAGCTTGGCCGAGTGCGTGTGTTTATAAAACACAACTTTTCTACAAGAACAAAACTACACTTCTGCTTTTTAACTTTATTTAAGAAGTCTTGATATCACATGTCTATATATATATGTATGTATATATATATATATACACATATATATGAACGTACAGACTTAAATAATTGAATGATTTAAATATACGAATTAAGTGCACGAGTGATTTAAGTATGTACTGTGCTGTGTACACATATGAACATATGTTCAGGGGAAAGAAATGCAAGCGATGCAGAAATTTAGAGGATAAAACCTAGGAGGCTGCTTTCCCTTCCGTTGTGCTGCCCGTGTCTGTCCTGCGGGTCCCCGAGTCACACATCTGCACTGCGTCCTGCCGTGGTGGCACCAGCCCACGGGTGTGTGGGTACCTGGTGCGCACAGGCAAGGGGGTGACAGCGCAGCAGAACAAGGCTTGGGCTGGACTCGCCTCCCCTGGGCCGGGCGGGAGCGGCGGCTTTCGGTGGAGGACGCCCTCTGAGGACTCTTGAGTCAACGGCTGTCTCTTGAACATTGAGCCCTTTCCAGGAAGGTCCTATTCTGGATGTCCCCCTTCAGAGAGCAGTTCTGTGCCTTCACCCTGCCGGTGAGGACGGGCACTGACACTGGCAGGAACGCTGGAACCGTGCCGATTCGGACTGAAGCGCGCCGTTGCCCAGGAGCAGGTCCTGTGTCCTGCGGTGCTTCTTCACGCAGGGCCCCACCTCTTGCACCCGCTGCAGCCCCATCCTGCTTGGGGCTGCTTCTCCTCGAGGACTTACTCAGAATTCTTCCAGGAAAAGTCACTTTTCAGGGGGTCCTTGCTCTTTCCTATTTTTATTGCACTTCCAAGTCAATCTCTTGCTCTGCTCTGCTCTACTCGCTTCCAGACATTTCTAGTGTCCCTGTTTTGTGGGCAGCGCCCTCCCTGGTGTTCAGCGAGGCTCCCGTGTTACTTCTTATGCTGCTAGTTCAGCTGCACTTTGGGAGGAGGAGCTGTGAGCGTAGCACGTGCGTCCGCACTGCCTTTACCTGGGAGTCTGCGCTGTGCTCTGCTAAACAAGCGGCTGTCTCTGTTGGTGGCCATTTAAGGCTGCTTTCAGTTGCAGTTATTTTATGCTGAAATGCCATATTTTGGCTGCATTTTCTCGAGAATTTCCATAGTGTAAATTCCTAGAGATGGAACTTCTGAGTCAAAATATGTGTTTATTTTTAAGGCTTCACGTTACTAAATTGTCCTCCAGAGAAAAAATTATTTACGTTCCCAACCAACCAATGTGTGAAGTGCCAGGTGCCTCCATCTTTGCCAGTAAGAGTCTTCATTGCACTTAATATTTCCTGGTTTGATTTTTAAGTTTCTACTTAAAATAGTTACTCAAGTTTACGTGAGGTTGACTGCATAAAACAGTCACTCTTCTCTGACTTGTCTGTTCGCACCATTTGTCCGTGTCCCTGGAGGGTGCGGTTTATCGCGCAGATGCAGGGAAGCTCTCTGTTCAATAAGGATCGACCCTCTGCAAAACACTGGATTTCTTTCCTCCATTTTCCTTTGCCCTTTGATTTCTAAAATACATTCTGTTTGCCATACTTAAAGTGGCTTTATTTTACAGGTAATGTGTGGTCGTTGTAAAAAATTCAAATAGTCCATCAAAATATAAACAACAAGGTAAGAGTCTCCCAGAAGTGCAGAGCCTGCGGTAACGACCGTGAACCTCTGGGTCGCTGCCCTCTAATGTTTCTCTCCACATGTGTACAGACACACACACACATGTACATGGACAGGGTTGCACCCTGCATGCTGTCATTGACCACGGACCCTCCGTCATCACACCAGCTGGCAGCCCGCACCCTTCAGCCCAGTGCCCCGGTCTCCCACACTGGCAGTCTCGAGTGTGGGCATCCGTGTGTTCCTCCAGACGGACTTCCAGACCTCGCACAGACCAGCAGCCATCCACCCGTGCGTGCACAGGGCCACGTGGTGACCTCGCCACTTAGTCCACAGAAGGAGGGCCTCGTTTCCCACACCTTGCTTCTCCTCTCACCGGCGGCATGGGGGCTGCTTGCAGGGCCCTGGCAGGCCCATCCCACTCTCGTCTGGGGTCTCCTGCATTGCTCTGCCGTGCTCCAGAGCGGGCGGTGGTGGGCACCGTGCACGTGCGCCCTGGTGTGTTGGTGCTCGTACTTGGTGGGACACACAGGCAGGTATGGAACTGCCAGGTCCAAGGGTATGACATTTGTGCTTTTCGTAGCTGTTCTTAGCTTGGCCTCCAGACACTCTCGGCTCCTGGCGTGGCCCAGAGTGGGTGTGGGCCACCTTCCTGCTGTCTGCGGTGGCTCCCTGGACTGAAGGCCTTGTCATCTGTCTCTCCCCACTGTCACCTTCAAATGGCCTTCCTCAGCTCCACATTAATGAGGCCGTCATCCTGTTTTCTCACAGAACTCCTGCGTTTTCATTTTCTCACACATAGAACTTGAATCCAGCCACATGCATTTAAACAGGTAGTGTGTCGTGTGCCCTACAGTGCCTGGAGCCTGGCGTGCATTGTTTTTTGTTTAAAGTTCACCAAATACACTTGAGTAGCATTTTTAAAGATCACATGGTAGCTGTTTTTCAGCACTTCCGGAAAGCTAGTCTCTCTCACACACATACAGGTCCTCCCCAGAGAGCGATTGTTAAGAAGTGCTCTTACCATGCACTCTTGCAGTCTGCTTCGTGGTGGCTTCTGACAACGGGAAAATGTAAAGTGTTTTTTGTCTTTGGCTGGTGCACGTCTTTCCCATATTTTGACACTTTAGTGAGTCGTTGACAGGGTATAGTGTATTTTAAGAACTGGGAGAAAAGAGTTGGTTGATTCAGTTGATTCAACTCCTGTCCCAGTCATAGACGTAATAAACGTGTCGGAGCATTTTGGTGGCAGCTGTTTTAAGGTCTGTCGGACAATGCCAGCATCTCGTCCTTGGCGTCTCGTGTGATTTGGGAACTGTCTGCTTCCTCACGTGCCCAGTAATTCTGGGCCATGCACTAGGCATTTTGAACATTGTGTTGTGATGGGTCTTGTTTAGGAATCGCATTAAAATGTTGATGTTTTTGTTTTTACTGGGCAGTCCACCCAGTTAGGTTCAGGCTGCAAGCTGTGACCTGCGTTCCATGAGCACTGGTTCCAGCGTATGTTCAGATTCCAAAGCACCTACAGGCTGATTCGGGTGTCCCCAAATGATAGCCGCCCAGTGGCCAGTCTGGGAACCAAGCTGTGGTCCACCTGTCCCTTCAGTTCTCAAGCCTTGGGTATGCTATGCAGGCAACAGCTCCCCGTGTGCAGCCCCGGGCTGAGCCCAGTGGGTCACAAACAAGGCCACAATGCCAGGCTCCTCCCTGTCCACAGGGAGTCTGGTCGGCGCCGTGGTCTCACCGCGTTACAGGGCTGTCCTGAGGCGGCATCTTTGAGCTCTGCCCCCTTAGCAACTTTCAGATGCCAGGGGGCACAAAGGCAGGCGTACAGCTGTCGGTGTGGAAACAGTCCAGTGATTAATAAGTCACAGTGCAGGGGAAAGCCTGTTCCGTGCACTCGCAGCTGCAAGCCCGCCTTGGCCCCGCCCTGCGCACAGCACGGCGTCCTCTGCAGCGGGCGTGGTGGGCGCCTGACACCCAGGACTGACTCGCTCTGTTCTCACCAGGAGTGTGACTCTTCCCACACTGTCCTCTTTAGGAAACAGTTTGCTTATTCTGTGCTTATTCTGGGTCTTTTGTGTTTTCATCAGAACGTCATACATAAGCAGCTTTTAAACTTCTACCAAAAGTTCTGCTGAGTTTTGCATTGGGATTACATCAAATCTAGAACTCGATTTAGGGGGATTCACATTTTAACAATATTTAGTCTGCCGTCTCTTTAGAAGGGCATATCTCATCATCCACTTGGGTCTTATTTAAGTTCTCTTGGCAAGGTTTTGTAGTTTTCAGGGTACAGGTCTTTATTTTATTTTATTTTATTTATTTATATTGATTATGCCATTACAGTTGTTCTATTCCCCCCTTCATTCCCCTCCACCTACCCCCCCACCCCCACCATTACCCCCCTTTAGTTTATGACCATGTGTCTCAAGTTCTTTAGATTCTATATTTCCCCTACTATTCTTGCCCCCCCCCATCTATTTTCTATCTACTGTCTATGCTACTTATTTTCTGTACCTTCTCCCCCCCTTCTCCTCCTCCCACTCCCCTGTTGCTAACCCTCCATGTGATCTTCATT